ATATATATATATATATATATATATATATATATTAATTATAGCTACAGTTGTGGAGCTATAGGTTTTAATCTTGTTTTTCCACCTGAATTTAGGATACAATTGTGCTCATTAACATAATACTCAGTTGCATGTCTGATTAGGAAGTTATAAAAACAACATGTGCCTTTTTTTGTATTTGTGCTTGTATGGTTATATGTATATAAACTGCCCTGTATTTTATTTTAAAATAAAATAATCTACTAACTTACATAAAAAAAGGATGCACAAGTCAGTAAAATGTGGTTTTTAGCAGTAAGTGAAATTTAAACTTCATAAATTTGCCATTTCATTTTGCTTGTGTCGAATAAAAAAGGAAATTGGTTAAGGTCACATTCTCCAGTACACTCGTTCGTATTTCTATACCAAAAGAGCACACGCTCAGGAAAACAGTGAGAACATGTAATCCACAACGCACAGCAGGGGTCGTTGTCCCACTCTAGCTGGCAGCTGTAGTGGGCTCTTATTGTCTTATAAAGACCAGCCACTAAAGGACTTAATCTTTTAGCTCCAATGGTAGAACCTCATCCTTTTAGTGCTGAAAGTCTCAGGGCTCAAATCCCATTGTCAGCTGAAGCATGAGGTTGCCAGCTTATAAAATGAAGTGCGGGTATAAACAGCGAGCCATGTTACTTACCTTCTCTCCTCCATTTATGGTAACGTTTATGTTTTTCAGAACTAAATCCAAGTCCTCACGGTAACGTAAGCCATAGCCTCTGAACTCCACTTTGCCTTCATGAGGCCAGTTGTCTGGTGGAGCAGTTTGCTCAATACACCAGGGAGCCTGAAAGAACAATTGCCCAGCCATTCAGCTAGATCATTATTAACAGATCTATTACTTTTTTTGACCCATCTGACTGAGCAAACGAAGAAATAGCTCCACCAGGGGTTGAATAAGGAAGAAGAGGGCAGAAGTCTTTTTCAAAAAGGACAGTACTGGAAAAATCACAAAGGGGCAAATTCGGCTGCATTGAAGACAATGAGGTTACAAGGTATAATCAAGGGCAAGATTTGACTCAAAAGTTGTGAAAAATTTGTGTCTTGACTAAAACAAGCCTCACCTCCCGGAATAAGTCTTTCTACAATTGCTGATGTGAGAATAACAGACAACAAATATTATGACAAACTGGTCATGCAACAGTTACACACTGCGGTGCCAACCCAGAGAGCCGGGTTTATAACGATAAGAAGCTTGCCTGAGACAGAGAACACTGAACACTTTGCATGGTGGTAATGAACGAGTTCTGACTCAGATTTCAGTGGGTGTGTAAACGGAGCAGGGTTTTCACCCTAATCAGCAGTTATATTAAAGCGGAGATCCCAGTGGGTTCATTGCTAGAGCCAATTAAAACATTCTTAAAATCAGGAAATTTTCCAACAGATTTTAGTTTGGAGGAACCACATGTGAAAAGGAGTGAGGAGAAACTCAATGGTTTGTACCCCACCCCAGACATGACTCAGGCTGAGCTGGGTTTTGATTTGAGGGTTTGGGCTTCCTATGAACACATTGCTGAAAATAAATCATGTGGGGGAAGAAGGCTAAGAGGGGACACGCATGACCAAAAGACGTTTACATGAGTCGTCATCAGACTGAAAATGAATTTTGCATAGCTCCATTTGTTAATTTGGTACGGACTAGACAGAAGACAAAGGGTTCCCACAAATTAAGTGCAAATAGCGATAGAGGAAACAAATGCTTTAACTCAGTGGTTCTTAACCTGGGGTGCACACACCCCGTGGGGTGCGAGATGCCCCTTCTGAGGGTGCGAGACATGCCAGATTTTTTTAGAAGGTAAATCATCGAAAACACAAATTAAGCACAGGCACGTAAGTACAACTACTTTGTTTAATCAAACCTATGTTAATAAATACATTATACATTTAACGATTACTGTAATATACAAACAAAAAATATATCTAGGTTTAAAGAACTGACCTACTTCAACCATTTTTGATAAGGAGTGCGAGAACATATTTTGAGAACCAAAGGGGTGCAGGCAGCAGTAAAGGTTAAGAACAACTGCTTTAAGTGAAGAAAAATACCTGCAAAGTTAACATTCTGCCACTAGGGGGCACTCTCAGCATGAAGTATGAAGAAAACAATTAGCACTTAAAAAGCAAATTCCAAGTACAAGTATCTCTGGATTCCCTTGTCAGTAAGGGCCAAGCAAATTCAGCCCACTAGGGAATGGCAAGAAACACCTTAGCGTAAATTCGTTTGTTCAGAAACCAATACTGTAGTAGTCTAGCCAGTTAGGAGGCAGCTTGACTAATTGAAAGTCCCCCTCCTGTCCCATTAGAAAGACAATGACTGTACAAGGCAAGCCTGCAGCATTAGTTAATAGCAAGGAAGACCTTTAGACATAAGTATAGAACCTACTAGCCACAACATACCTCTTTCTCCGTTTCAGAGTATTCTTTGACTCTTTCCACAGCGACAATGTTAGTTTCCATCTCAGATGACATGCGAACCAGCCAGTTTAAGTATGTTGTAACCTGAAAAAGAATTCCTAAATGTAGCGTTTACAATACAAATGGACATCAACATATAAAAGAACATTTAGCATGCAATATTGAGATGAAAACCCGAAGTGCCATCTGCTCATTAAACGCAGCACTTGGCTTTACCTGGGATGAGATGAGAACAACTCAGCCACCTTCTACAATTATGAAATACAACTGGGACCAAGTTCCACCCTCAGATACGCATGTGCAGTGGGAGCTGTGTAAGTATAGAGCAGAATTTGGCCACTAGTGTGATCCCTAAACCAGCTGCCCATTTGTCCTGCTAGAGTCAGTGTGCCTCATCACAATTTCGTTTCATTGGTTCAAAAGGTTTCTCCTTACAGCCCCTCCCACATAGGAAAGCCCTTTATCACACCACCTGGACTCTAAATCTCTTTTCAAATCTCATCTGTAAACATTTTCCCCATTGCATGCTCCGCAAATTAGTTCTCTCTCCAGGACTTGTTTAGTTTCATGAAGTATTTGGGGATTCAGTTTGTAGTGACAAAGCCTATTTATGACTATAGATGACAGATCAATTCTCAACTCTAATTCCATTACAGATTTATATCCTAATACTGGGATGTGGTCTTAAAGTGCAGAAAGATTTCTGAAGTATATTACCTGCAATGAATAGGACACTGAGAGTCCAACTAATCCAGGGCTGAGGCTGTTGCGAGCAATCACTGCAAACAGCGCCGCAAAGAGGACTATACAGTTCCCCACACATTCCAGCCGGACAGCCAGCCACCTGTAAGACACAGACAAGTGATTCAATTTTCCAGAAATATCTGATTAAATAAACAAAAATTCAGGGTGAACATGCTTAAATTCACATCTGTTTTGTTTTTTTAAAGTGTATGTCAAGTGAGGCATTTACATCTACACATCCCCTTTGCCAGTGACACGGGAACTGACACATTTGGAGCTGTCTGACCATTTCCAGAAGGATGGAGTGCGGAAGCACATGAAACTAAACTCTTTGGGGCAGAAAATCCTATTTTAACCTTGAACATATTGGGTCTCAGGTGCCCAACACAGCCACAGTTCAACTAAATGAACAATGTGTAGAGGAAGCGAAGGAGGAGCAAAACTTTCTCTGAAATCAATGGGTTGTACCCGAGTAACGGAGCGAGGACTGCAGAACTGCACCCTTGCTATGCCACTGCTCTCTATGTGCTGACCCAACGCTCACGCCCATCTACCTGTTTGCAACAATGCTGGGAAAGTACGCTTTCTGATTTTCATCCACTTTTAAGTCACTCTGCTGTTTGAAACGCGTCTGCTCCTCAAAGGCTCGAATGACACTGACACCCAGGAGAGTCTCGTTAAAGTGAGAATACACTGGAGAGCGGCTGACAGATTCAAGACGTTTCAGCTGGCGAGAGGTGGCCACATAAAATCTCTGGAAATCAAGTTGAGTAGAACACTTTGAGTTCAAAGGCGCAGCACAGCCTGGACACGACTTCAACTATTAACAACTACAGGGAGTCAAGGGAGCCAACTCTCACCCAGACTTTTACTCTGGATAAGAGTACTACACATCACTTAGAGAAATCCAATTTGCTTCTAGGAAAATGCACTGATTCATGGATTTTAAAACCAGAACAAACCGTATGATTATCTAGTCTGACTGCATTTTTAAGAAGCGTGGTAAAAACAGCAGTGGGTGCTCCTGTTTATGATCTCCAAATGGCTGAAGATCACATTTCCTCACATCAGGAAGATGTATTTTCCCCTCAAATGCTGGTCCTGAAAGCTCAGTCTGAGATCTGAGAGTCAAGCTGAGTTCTGTTTGGCTCAGGCACCACCACCAGGAAAAAAGATTCCACAACTAGAACTTGGTGAACAAACTCACTGATACAGGAGTCAAAAAAGAGAAGCCAATTCCCTTTCCCATGGCTGTATTGGCTCTGCAGGGATCACCAGAGTAAAGCAGTGAAGTCTTTTTTTAGCCACTAAAGTAAGCAGGTATGACAATACACACAGGGAGCAAGACTGTGGAGTAAAAAGGTTGCTGTCAATCCTATTCTCTCCCTGTTTTAGCCTGAGTTTTCTGACTATACCTGCATTTTCTACATCTGTGCCTCTCCGAAGCACACACTCATTGTTTGAATTATAGGAGTTTCTTTCCCCAATACTAAAGCTCTGAATGAGAAATATTCTATGTAATATACCTTAGATTCTTAAGGAGGCTGTCTTTAAGTCCAGTTATATTAAAATATTCCCATTATCTTCTTTGTAGCATTTACAATGAAATGATCCATGATAGCAAAAATTATTCATGGTTTGACACAGTGTCCTATTGAGACAGGCAAAGTAGAGAATGCTCAGCTACTGGAAATCCAGCAAGCTGACGGGCCTGCCAGGCACAGTGCACGTCATATAGTATCCAAAAATGGTCAGTCAAACTCAAGTCACAATCACATTAAAATCTAAAACCGGAGAGACAGAGGCTGGTGAGAGCTCAATGGCCGACGTTCCTTACCTGCACAAAGAAGTAGACAAGTCCCAGCGGCGGAATGACGATGGCAGCTATTGGCGTGGCCAAGAGAATGATGATGCAGGCCCCAATGACGTTAAACAGTGAGCCCATGAACATTTTGATTATCTGAGGAATCACAGAGTCTATAGTGTCCATCTCTTTAGAGAACCGGTTCACTAAGTTCCCACTGGGTGTTCGTTCAAAAAAACTCATTGGAGACCTAAGGACACTGTGAAGCAGGCCAATGTGTAGGTGTCGTGAGGCAAATATCCCCCCTATTGACACAGCCATTGAGTAGCCAAACACAGCAATACCTGAAAGAGAAAACTGAGTTGACAACTTTTTTTCCTCCCTGAGCAGAAACGTTTTTCCTAATTATGTTTATTCTTGGTTTGTAATCAATGAAATCTAAACCATAGTAAATTTAGTCAACACAAATTCAAAATCAATCAATCCTCACTGAAGAAGGCAGATGGTGATCTGAACTAGTTGGACTGAGCAGTAAAGATTCTTCAGTGAAAAAGGTACGCTCATCCGAAGGAAATGTTACCCTGAAATCACATGTTGAAAGGCTATTTGGCACACATGGCCTGCTTACACGCTGCTCCACTTTAAAAAGTTGTTTATTTCTCATTGCAAGGCTGGACATGGCAATTCCGAAGAGAAGTGGGATATTGGGTGTTTATTTTCAGGTCAGACAAAGCCTATTTATACACAGAACAGACTTAACAGGCAGCAATTGTGCAAACTTCTCCTGGACACTCTGTCAGCATGTCTGAATCCTGAGGTGGCAGGACCCATGTAGCAGTGAGAGGATAGCTTAGCAGTCCACATGGCTCAGGCAATCCTTGGCTGCTGCTCTAGAACTGCCAGTAAGGCTGCCAAAGAAGATCAAAAGGTGTGGTGGCGGCTCCTGACCACTGGGAACTAGATTGAGACTCAATTCATTTCATTCGGGTCAAAGAACCATCAGATGGCAGAAACTTTCAGTCATCACAGACCTGGGATGGATTTGAACCAGCCATCCAGAGGCTAAAGATTCCAGATCCCATAATCAGAAACAAAGCTAGAATGCATATTACATTAAAAGAAAACCAAATTCACTAACTGAATAATTTATTGCCATTACTTAAACCTTCCCATAAAAAGCAAAATAAAATTCATGGCAGCAAGAGACTCCTGAGGAAGCCTTTGTGCAGTGCCGGACACACCAAGTCACTGATCTTTCTAACATTTGGCTTAATATTTTGAACCAGTCAGTTAGTTTTAAAATAGCTTAAACAGATAATTTCAGGCAAACCTTGAGACATTCCCAGTGCTCCATACACTCCTAGCCGGACGTGCGTGTGCTGCTGAGTCCCATTAATAATGGGATCATCTGTCCATAAACTTAGCCAGTAGTTGGAAGCCAGGGCGGCTATGTGGTTACACATAAAAAGGAAAATGCTCAGAAAAGAGATAAAGAGTCCAATGGCTTTCATATATTCCCAGTACACTGTCGCCTTTACCTAAAGATGCAAGAGAGAAAAAAAAGAAGGTCATTTTACACAGGAAGTGTAAGGCCTAAAACACTCATATATGTAACCACCACCTACAGGATAGTGAAGTCAACATACCGGTTACACAGTTTACATCTTTATGGTGGGCCACAAAATACCTACTAGTCCTGTCCCAGAAAGATAATACCTGGCAGCACCAGTGTCACATTCTAACAGAATGCCTTGCAAAGGTTAGCTCAGTGACCCCAACTGCCCTGGGATGTTGGTAGGCACTGCTGCCTTTACACACATGGAGAAAGCGAGACAGATTAAGGGACTTCCACAAGCTCACACAGGAGATTTATGGCAGAGCCAGGAATAGAATCTGTTTCTGAGCTTTAGCTATAAGATCCTCCCACCTTTTAACAGGAGGATCCAACCACAAGCAGATGGGGGTACTACAACCAAAGGAAAAATTGAGCCCAAGGTTACTGCCCAATACGTATGGATAGGACAAGTTATAAGCTACATTTAGAGAAAGATTCAAGTGAAATAGTTGACATCTATGCTGCAGTAGAGAAGTATTTCCCCCTCAAAGTACTAGCTCACAGATCGCTTACAAAAACCCCTGGGTGTGCTGGGATTCAGCACTTGGATCTGACAGTGGAAACTTGGTTTTAATCCAGTTGTCAACTCCAATCCCTCTAGAGTGTGACTCGGGTCACAGAGCTTGTCACAACCTTGTAGCCTTTTTCCAAGAAGTGACCGCAATAGAGTTATAATTAACAGCTGAAATTTTCACCTCATTTTTTCCAGCTTGCCAGGTAATCGTGCCAGCCACACCAGTGTAACTGAAGCTCTCATTTCATCCCTCTCTGCCCTTCCTGGGCCTACAAACAAACCTGGGACGCAGGTTTAATTGCATAGAATCTAGAAACAATCAATGAAGTTCCACATGATCTGTCAACTCAAAAATGTGTTCACCTCCTTCCCCAAACTAGTTACTTGCTCTTTGCAGGGGTGCTGGAACAATTTGTATTGCGGGGGTGCTGAGAGCCATTGAACATAGCTGTAAACCCTGGATACGATGGAAACCTCCTCAAGCCAGGGGGTGCTGCAGCACCCCCAGCACTGCTAGTTCCAGCACCCACGGCGCTTTGCTCCTAGATTTGAATGCTATTGTCTCCTGAATCAGAGGGATTTTTGATAAACTAAAATTTGGAATTGAAAAGAAATAATTAAATCTCACCCTCCCAGTCTTTGCTGTGTCAGCCTCCGTAAGTTTCCAAGCATTCTTTTCTGCTGGTGCCTTCTGAAGCTCTGTTGTACTAGTCTGGTTCGGAGACTTCCCTGTTTCTCCACTGTAAGTTGATGAGTTACTGAGTTGTCTGAAAAAAAAAAACATTTTTAAACAAGCCATCAGAAAGGGACCAGTTCTTTACTTGGCAAATGGATTTCAATGACCCAGATCTACAAGTCTGGACACAATCTTACTCTATGCTTCGCTGAGCCAGACAGAAACCTCCCTAACAGGAGAATGCATGTGAGTATTCAGTATTCTCTACCTGATTGCACTTCCTTAGCACCTGAAGACAAATGCTTCGGAATAAGTACACAATGGACTGCCAAGCCAGAGAGGAGTTCTTGCTTGAGCAATCAATCAAACTCAAGGAAGAACGATTCCTTGGTTAAAATAAATAAATAAATAAAAATCTGCCTTTCTGGATCCTGCCCTTGTACTGAGCAGATGCAGGGACTCAAGAGTATTCCCATCATCAGCAGGATTGGAAAATTAAATACATTTAATACATTACTCGTCAGCCTTCAAAATTTGCAGTCAAATTACTTCCAGAAATGGGCATATTCATCTCTGTGATGTTTAAAGGAGAAATGGACTGACTTGTGGGTATCCTGACCTGAAGCCTCCCCACAAAATGCAAACCCAGGCAGTGGAACAGGCTAAGATTTTCATGGGATATTCAATTTTTGCTGGCATGTGAACTTCCTTAGCACAAGACTTACACTACGGAACTACAAAACAGCCTTAGATGTTCTCTTTGGGAAGCTTGAAGGAGAGAGACTTTATTTCCTAAGTCTTTGTTCAGGTCAAAAGCCATTTAAGACTTTTAATCATTTAAGGAAACTCATTCTCATGAAGAGCAGAAATACTGTACTTTGAATGGTAAGAGTAGGCTGCAAACTGTCCAGCATAAAGCAGAAGGAAAAGACTAAGGGCTTGTCTAGGTGAAGAAAAAGCGCAGAGAACACTGGGCTGTAAATGTATAGCATAGTAGTGTGCTGCATACTGTCTGTGTAGACCCTGCTACTGCGCACTAACAGTTCCCTAGTGCACTTTGACCTACTCTGCTTTGAAACAACTACACACCTAAGTATCGGTTTTCCCGTTGCTTCATTTGCGAGAACACCATTTTCCATATGCTTTCCTTCTTTCACAGTTGGGCTGTTTGCATCTGTAGGAAAAGCAAAGATGAACAAAGTTGGCCAGAGCTAGAGAAGTCATAGTCAAAACCCAGTCAAATATTTGCACACCAAAATTGCACCCAAAGGGGAGAACACAATTAAGCAATTAATACTCTATATGGTAATTATTTCTAATAGGTTTTAACAATCATACTTTTTAGCACTAGTTTGAATCTTAATCTTACTAGGCAAATGCAAAGATGATAGAATATTATGCTCCTTTCCCTACTCAATGCACACTAATTTTAGTAGTTTGAAATAGGGTTATGAGAAGTGTTTGATAGTAAAGCACACATCAACTTCATAGTACAGAACATGCTACGGCTAATTTAGAGGATGCTTAAGCTTTTTCTACTCTTCAAAAATTCATGCCTTGACTATTCATTAAAGAGGCAAAAAGTTATTTTTATTTTAGAGCAAACCAGAAACCACACAAAAGCTTTTTCTGGATTTTTAGTGCAAAGGTAGAAGATACATTCAGAGTAACTTGGAGAATGCTGGCTTTCCTTCATCACCCTAAAACAACACACTACACAGCAGACAACAAACTTTCCAATAGCATTAATCAAGTACATGCTACTGAGGCTGAGTAACTAGAAAGGCCTTTCTACGAATTTAACATTAAGCAAAAGATAGGTGTTACATTTCCCCTTAATACAGCTATATAAATCCATTTGATTAACAAGAGGCAGTATTGCATTTACGCAAGTTAACCCGAAATGCTTCGAAAACCAAATTAAAATTTGAAGTTTATGTAGCTTGTGAAACAGTAAAGATAAACAACAAGAATTAAATTCAAAGCTTTCTCCAGGCAGTTTAATGAAACTCTATGAAACAGTGTCTAGTGTGGCTATCAGACCCTGACACATTTATATTTCATAGTTTTTCCACACACAAATCAAATGCCTTTTTTCCCTTAAAGAAATACCTTCTCTTAGTCTGGGCAATAATGTTTCCATGTATGCAGAGCTGTTCAGTGTTTAACCCAGAAGGAATTCTGCACACAAACAAACATTCTTAAGGAGGCTGAATACAGCCAAAAATAGTCAGTTTGTATCTACAGTGAAACCCGCTATACCACGATGTTTGGGGTCCAAAAAGTTACCCAGCAGGGGAGAGAAGCTGCGGCCCCACACCTGCCGGGGACAGAGAGCTCCAGGGCTGCGGGCGCCGGTGCTCTCTGTCCCCGGCAGGCGCGGGGCGGCTTCTAGGACTGGAAAAACGCGGTTTATTTATAAATGTCGTAAAAAGTGGCAAAACAAACAGTATTACAGCAGTGGTCCCCAACCTTTGTGTGGCCAGTAGCACATTCATATTTTGAGAAGACTGTGGCGGAAGCGAACAATTTTTCCAGACTTATTTTGGAGTTCTCAGTCACTGGCAGGAGCGGGGCCGCGGCTTCTCTCCGGCCTGCCAGGGACAGAACACTGGTGCCTGCAGCCCCAGAGAAACCAGAGAGAAGCCACGGCCCTGCACCTGCCCGGGACAGCGAGCACCTGCACCTGCAGCCCTGGAGCTCTCCAGATTGCTCGGTCACATGGTGTGACCTGCAGGGCCTCCTCTCTGCAGAGCAGCTGAGCCAAGGAGCTGTGCCAGGCAGGGGGAGGTGGAAGCAGGAGCAGAAGAAAAGTTGGGAGTTGCTCGGAAGTTCCGCTGCTTTAACTCTGCCAGGAGAGGCAAAGGAATAGCTGGGAGCTGCATGGAGGGGCCACTGTTTTCCGGAGCGGGGGCTGCTTTCCAGAAGGGGAGATTGCTGCCAGGAAGGAGAGGGACACGGCTGACAGTGGTTGTGCTCCCCACTGTCAGCAGGCAGGGTAGTCTATTGGGAGCAGTGAGTAGGAAATAAAACAAAATGGTGGGGGGCAATCACTAGCACTGGGGAAACAGGTCCATGGGGTAAGCAGGGCTGGGCAGAGCAGGACAAGTAGGGAAACAACTAGCAAGTGGAATGGTGCCTGGGCAGTGCAGGGAATAAACAGATAAAGGGGGCACTGGGCTGGGAAAGCAAGCACTGAACAATGAAGGGGCGGGGAGGGGAAGCTGGGGAGGGCAGGTACTAGACACCAAGAGGAGGGGCAGGGAACAAACAGTGAAGCAGGGAGGCCAGGTCTGGCCTGTGAAGGGGAGTATCAAACCACATTGTGAGGATCTGGGCATGGCAAGTATCAGAGCCGGAGAGGAGCCGCGGCCCCGCGCCTGTCGGGGACAGAGAACAACAGGGCTGTGGACGCCGGTGCTCTGTCCCCAGCAGGCACGGGGCCGCAGCTTCTCTCCCCTGCCTGGCACTAGGCGGGGGCACATCAATGTCCCAGCAGCCATCATGGCGTTGGGGACCACTGGTACAGTACATACAGTACTGTGTGTCTTAAGGGGGGGCCAAATTGTGATCGCGTTATATGCGATTTCGCATTATGGCAGGGCACCTTATTGTGGGGTTTGACTGTATTAGAAAAAAAACATTTGACAGGGAGACAATTATTTGTTTAGACCTGAAAACATTTGTTTTGTTAAAAATAAAGATGTTCAATGTTTCCATGAACTATTTTTCTGAACATTAAACAACAAACTCCACTGAACTGCAGCTGTCTGTTTGACTTAAGGCATTCTCTGCTGCATGTGCAAATGAAACACTGATGCATCGTGCTAATGCTGGAGAGTCAGAAAGCTAAACTGATCGGTGCTGTTTCATTGTCCAGGATGAGTGAAGTGCAAACAGTGAATAAAACAGCATAAATGAAAACTTCACACACTTTACAAATGAAGTTATTAAAAGTGAGAAACTATATTTAGGTTTTTACCCAGACAATATTTCTTTAGGAAAACTTCCAGATGAAGAACTTCAAGCATTCAATATCCCCTTCAATTGCAAACACTGAATTTAATGGCAACCCTTATTCCACGTTATAGCCCGCAGCTCCCAAACGGCTCTTCAAAGTCAGATTTAATTTTGTACGCAATAAATATTTCTGCACATGTTGAATACAGTATTTCAGAAACAAGGAAAGCTCTCAGAAGTATAATTAATCTGGCACCATACCAGTGAGGATGCAAACTCACTAACAACTATTCTTATTTCATGTCTTAGTATCACCACTGAAGAATTCCTTTTCAAATCAAAAGGTCGTATAGTTATAACACTAAACAGGCAGTAAAGAAAGGAAATGAAGGAATCATTACTGCACCAATCCTGCAAACTCTCATGCATGTAAGTAGTCACGTTGAATTAAACGAGACCACTAACATGCATAAGCATGTGCAAGATTGGGCCCTCAATTTTTGTCATCCTGACAGGTTTGATGTTTAAGAGACAAGACCCATCTCAACCTGTCAATGGGATATTCATTAAGGATTTCCATCTTTCATATTTATTTTCCCACCCTGCCAAAAAATTAGGATGCATTCAACTAAACTTAAAAACCTATCAGTGAAAGTTTTCAGGACTTTTTACAGTGTTTACTCTTACTACATCTTGAAACATACCAATCTTCCTCATTGTGAAATGGACTAAGAGGGGCTGTTAACATCTGGAAGGGTGAAGACCGAAGACCCGAAACCACAGGACAATTTAGTCAGGAGAATTTTTCAGTAATTTTTTCTTACATTACTTCTTTTTTTTTTTGCAAATTTCTCAATAAATATTAATTTGAATCTCACACCGGCAGCCCTCAATTCAGTCAGTCCTGTTTGGGATGGAATATCACATCTTGTGAAAAATCTACTGCACAATAGAATGTAGACAACTATTCTGCAAGTTTTCAGTTGCCATAAAAAGTTATTTTAAATGTAATACTTAAGAAAATAAAACCTTAGGTTTGTCTAATACACATCTCTCTGTGTCAAAATGAACATTGCCTTGTGGCTTCCAATTTCCACAAGTAACTGGGAAACAGTTTCATAAGGAAAAAGTTTCTACATCGTATAAAAACTCATTATGTAGAGCAATCAATATTTTAAAACAGCTACAGGGAAAGTGTTCAGCTTTTTTTGACAAGATTTTGTCCAACCTTAAAATTATTTCAGATGAAGATTCATTATTGTCATAAATTCTATTATTGAAAAGCCAGTGTCCCAAATGCTGAAGTTTAAGCCACTATTTTCATGCAATGTGCTCTCTCCCTACTGTTATGAAGTGTAGTGAGGCCGTGTGGCTCCCTGCCGCCCCCGAGAGGGAAGAGCCCATCCCGAGGCCAGAGTGGGAGGAGCTAGGGAGCTCGAGCCCGCCCCTCAGAGGGTCAGGCAGCGACCCGGAAGTATAAAGGCTCGCCCCCAGAGCTCAGTAAGGCCTGAGCTGCCGGAGAGGCCAGACGCCTCCAGCCTAGCTCGTGACTGGGAAAACTCCGCGGCCCAAGGCAGCCGCCAGGACTGGCCAAGCCTGCCCTGCGCCCACTACCCGGAGGAGCTGCCAGGCCTGCCCTGCGCCCACTACCCAGAGGAACCTATGGTGCTGGACCCCCCAGAGGACAACACCCTGACCCAGGTAGGCCCCGAGGGGGAGTCTGGAAGTAGCACGGGGGCAGATGACCCTAGTCTGGCTGCAGCACTTCCAGAGCCCATATCAGTGTGTTGCGGTCAGGATCCCCACTAACTACGCAGCGGATCTTCTGCCGCTGCTAGGGCCCCAGGCTGGGACGCAGTGGAGTGGGAGGGCCTGCGTCCCCCCTGCCACCCAACTCGTGGTTGGCAGTCTCCCCCTCTCCCAGGCCTGAGGAGGCGTGGGCCTATTGCTATTGGCTGTACTGTTATTGCTCAGCCCTGCTTGAAGGCCTGAGCTCTGACTTTGCACTGCTGCGCCCTGACCTAGGGCCTGGGCTTACAGTATTTGTTCCTGTACAGCAAGGCTGCCGAGGGAGACCCCGCAGCCAGACTAATTTCCCAACATCAACTGTGCGTAGTGAGCTGCTGTGGCTCCCCGCCGCCCCGGAGAGGGTCGAGCCCTGGTTAATCCTTGTACATGAAGCAAGAAGCTAACCAAACACTATTCTTCATGTAGTGTGAAACATCAGCTGCTAATGATGCAGCCACACGAGAGAAAAAACGCAGCCATGTCTATTGCCCTAATACAAAGAGTATAAAACAAACGTGGCAAAAAAGGAGTTACCTGGGGCCAGTGAAGGAGGAATGGTCAATTGTAATGAATATTTTGAGTTTAAACGTATACATTGACTTTTCCAAAACCATGCACATCTTTTATATCACAGTCAACTATTTCCACTATCTACATGCAGAAAAGCATCTGAGCAAACCAACACAAACCTTCCTTGTCTTCTCCTGTCTTTGGATCTGTGTTCAGGATTCGGGGCGGAGGGAGAGAGAAAGGGGGAAGAAGGTGATGAAACAATTTAAAAGACAAACAAAAATTGAATTCAAATGAAAAAGGCCATCAACTAAGAGCGTGACAAACCTTCTCCTTTCTTTGCAGCTGTATATTAATGGAAGCAAGAAGAGAATGGTAAAGAGAGTGGGATTAAAAAAAAAAAATGATTACTTGCTATGAAAGTTTACTAAGACAGCTGCCCCCCCGCCCCCTCCACACCTGCCAAAAGTAGTTCCAGACTTAGAAAGAAAAATTCAAAGTTAATGCTGGAGCCCTTCATAAATATGTTCAGATGAAAGTGCGAGACATTTATGCTATTCTAAATCAAGTTGGGTGGAAGGACAAGTGAGGAGGTTAGACTAATGGGTAGCCCAATTACTGCACCAACAGAGGAGCTGGAAACAGGTAAATTGGAAAAAAAGCTGTGGGAGGGTGGACAGAAAGCTGTCTAAGGCTGAGCCAGCATTAAGATGACATGGGAGGACAGGCAGCCAAACTGAGCTTTGGAGGTGTGAGATGAGTACTGAGGCCGGGGGAGTTTCGGACACTTGTTTAATATAGTGGTGACTCCTTTTTGTTGGTTTCCATAGACTATACAGTCTGCTTATGCAACTATAGATACAGACACACACAGTAATTTGACTTTAGAAGCAAAAGACTTCTCATTTATATGTCCCCTTTAAATTAGTCCATGTGAACTAGATAGAGAGAGCAATACCACCATTTTACGGCTAGGGAAAAATAAAAGCAGAGGTAGAGATTTGCCCACAACTAAAGGGCAAATAGTAGTCAAACACTATGATAATACATTGCATTAGTAAACAACAAAGGTGCCCAGTGTTCATTTGGGTCACAGTAATGAAGAAGAATTACATGCAAGGATGGCAAATAAGTGCAGCATACGAAAAACACTGGATTTCTTTCCAAAACAAGTTACCCAGCACACCAATGGGAAAAGACTCTCAAACAAAAGCAAGGGCACACTTGTCAAGCATGTTTACGTGTACAAAAAGCAAACAAAACTGCTTAAGTGAGCTGACAAAGGCTAGAACTAGGGAAATTGCAAAGTATTAAATTTTATCGAGACTACAAAAGAAAAAGGCAGATTAATCCTTCTCTCTGAAGTCTGCTCATACATTGACGTCCATATCAGATATCCTTTAAATAAGAGTACATCTAGCTGCTTCCAAACCCAAAGCATTATTTCTTTAATTCTATACAGTGTGCAAGTTAATCATATTTCTTCTATTGTAATGGATTTTTTGTGGTACTTGTCCCAGTGATAGGTGAGAACTCCACAATCCTTACTTTGCCCCAGGGACAGGAGACAGATCTGCACAGTCTCAGCCAGAGGACCATACCTCTCCCAGAATGCCAGTGCCTACAAAAGGTCCAGTGGAGCTAGGGTTGCCAACTTTAATAGCACAAAAGTGAACTCCCTTGCCACACCCCTGCCCTACTCCTTCAAGGTCCCGCCCCTTCTCAGAGGCCTCCTCCCCACTCACTCTATCCCCCACTCCTTCTGTCGCTCGCTCTCCCCCACCTGCACTCACTCATTCATTTTCAATGGGCTGGGACAGGGGTGGGGAGAGGGATGCGGGCTCTGGAGTGGGGCCAGAAATGAGAGGAGGGTGCTCAGGGCTGGCACAGGGGGTTGGGGTACAGGCTCTGGGATGGGGATGAAGAGTTTGGGGTGCAGGAAGGGGCTGGGGGATGGAGCCAAGGGGTTCAGTGTGTGGGAGGGGGTTCCGGGCTGAGGCATGCGGTTGGGGTGTGGGATGGGGTACAGGCTCTGGGCTGGAGATGCAGGTTCTGGGTTTGGGCAAGAAGTGAGGGGTTCAGGATGTGGGAGGGGACTCAGGGCTAGGGCAAGAGGTTGGGGTGTGGGAGGGTAGTGGGGTTCAGGCTCCGGGGAACACTCAACTTGTTGCTGCTTCCAGGGAGCCCACCCATGTCCCTCAGTTCCTAGGCCTAAGGGTGGCCAGGTGGCACTGCACAGTGTGCACTGTCTCCACCCGCAGGCACTGCCCACACAGCTCCCATTGGCTGTGGTTCCCAGCCAATGGGAGCTGCGGAGCTGGCACACAGGGCAGGGCAGTGTGCAGAGCTCCACAGGCTGTTCCTCCGCCTGGGAACCAGAAGGACATGATGCCACTTCTGGGAGGCACGCGGAGCCAGATAAGGAGCTTGACAGCCCCGCCAACTGGACTTAACGGCCCGGTGAGCGGTACTGACCAAAGCTGCCAGGGTCCCTTTTCGACTGGACGTTCCAGTCGAAAACCGGACACCTGGCAAACCTAAGTGGAGCAGATTCAACAAGCACATTCAGAAGACAAGCTCAGCTCTTCTACAACACACATTAATACATGCTCTCACCAAGGAGGCACATTCTGCTCTGCTTTCTCCAATAATCAGAGGGGGACTGTCATAGCTTTCTATGGTCTGGGAAGGACAGGGCCTGAACAGGGCAACTCCGCTTCCTACCTTACAGGCCCTCTCACCTGGCCTCACTCTCCACCCTGTTCCCTAGTCATTCTCTTTGTCAGCCTCTCTCCACCTGTCATTCCCTTCCCACTCACCTCTCCCATTGCCAGAAAGGGAATGCAAGCACTGCACTTCCCTCTCCTGGCCCGTGGTAGAGGGCAGAATACTATTCTCACTTATCTCCTGGCTGAGAGGACAAGCAGCAATTCAGTACAGTTCTATGGCTTGTCTGACAGCTTCATTCAAATTCTGTAGTTCAGTGCACTGCTCATGTTCAGGAAGGATGGAGTGTCGAGCACCAAACACCCATGCAGCACTCCAGGTGATAGGTGTGAATTATGCAAAAAATCAGCAGGAGCAATCCATTTCCTGCAAAACCTGCCATTTGTGTGCCTCAGCAGAGGATGCATGCCAAAGGACACGTCCTATGTGCACACAGAGGGAATATCAGCGTAACCCCAGCCAAGCACACTAAAAACCACTGCTTGTATCTGAGCATTACTACAGGGAACAAAGCCAGAAAACAATTTGAGCAAGTCTTGTAAGAAATCAGACTGGGAGGCATTGGACCTTCTTCCACGATTTGCAGACAAGGTGCAATACCAGAAAGTTACAAAGATTCCCCGCATCTTTAAGTGTGAATGCAGCTGTGTTGTAACAGGAAGATCTGGGAAAAGAGCAGCTGCTCTTTCCGGCTCTCAGATTAAGTAAGGTTCCATTTATGTGAGGGACTCACCAGCCCTGTGGATAAGTCATCAGAGATTCCATGACTTTTAGAATTTAAAAAAAAAAAAAAGAGTAAACAGATGCCCAGCCTTAGACTGACTTCAGAGCTGTATTGGACAATCTGAAAGGATCCATGATTGGGCTTCCACAGGAGATTCTTCTACAGCCCAACAGACCTCACTATTATGCTGAATATTGAATACCTGGTTTTCAATTCTACCAGCCAATCATGGATACCTTCATGAAACAAGGATCCCTGCCTATTTTGATCTACCATGGGGAAGGAAAAGCACTCAAGGAAGCATGCTACCACAAACCCACTAGCAGGCAGCACATCATCTTAGCTCAGTGCAGTTTCTTTGTGAGCTTACCTCCATTCTCCACATCCTGATCAGCATTAGCATATGTACGAAGAAACTCGGCAAAGGCCCCGTCTTGCTTTAGCAGGTCTTGGTAAGAGCCCATCTCAGATATTTTACCATCAGTCATCACTATAATTGTATCCATCAGAGGCAGATAACTGACCCCATGGGTTACCAAAACCCGAGTCTAGATGTTAAAAAATATAAATAGATATATATTTAGTACAAGGCTCTCTCTAAACAGTAACTAAGTGTTAAATTCTTGCAGTAAGTGTCGCACAGCAGATTTTAATTATGTGCATAACACCACATGCAACAGGCACATGGTAATTGTTAGACAAAATTAGTTCTTGTTTTTTAATAGTCGTTTTCTCCAGCTGACCTGCATCTTAGGCCTTTGGAGTCACTGAACTCTCTCATAATTCTTTGCACTGATGCTACTGTACCTTTCATCAGAGGTGCTCAAAAAGCACTTTATAAACACTAAACGCACATTTTTAAAGCTCTGTCTCTGCTCAAAATTGCAACATCTGACTGACTTAGGAGCATGTGTCATTTTCAAAAGTGACTTTGGCACCCAAGTTTCACTGAAAGTCATTCGGACTTAGGCACATAAGCACCTAAGTCACTTTTGAAAATAAGGCTTAGGCATTGCAATGCTGAGCTGAGTAGCGCCTAAATACTTTTAAATATCTGGGCCTACGTCTTCACATCACTTCTCCATTTTACAAACGAGTAAAGCCAGGTCCAGATGTTTCATGCGACTTTCACAAGATCATGTAACAAGTCAGATCCAATTTGAAATAGAATTGAGGAATAAAAATGATAACCGGGAAGTAAAATGGATGAAGTTGTTTCAAAGGAGCTTTCTAGTTCTTGGAACCTTTTGAACCAAGCTTAAATCACAGAAAGGATCATTCCATGGAAAAGTCACCCGATCTGAAGTATCATTTAAAAATACCTACTTTGTTTTTCAGGATTCCCTTTGGTCCAATAACTTTGTCAAAAATATGCTTCCCAACATGGGCATCAACAGCAGATAAAGGATCATCAAATAAATAGACATCGGTGTTACAGTAAACTGCCCGAGCAAGGCTGACTCTCTGCTTCTGTCCTCCAGAGAGATTCACACCCTGGAGAAGGAGGAAATAAAGTGCTGCTGGGTTTTACAGTAAAATACATTGTTTCAGGTAAAAGTCATAGGAGGCTTCTGTGAAGGCATTAGAGGAGCTGCAGCTTCATGATAAACATACCAAATAATAGACATTATTTCAGTAGCTTAATAGTGTTAAAAATCGTGGGCCAACGCCTCCTTTTTGATATGTATGGAAAAATCTAGACATTAATTAACGTCTGGCCAGGCCTCTAAACACGTGAAACACTATAGAGTGGCAGGGACCATATCTATCTATATGTTTCTATAGTACCTCCCACAAGAGAGAGGAAGTTCCAGACTGGGACTTTTGGCACCACTGTAATACAATCATCTCTACTGCATGTCCTGTAACTCGTTACATTCACAGGATTTCCATGAATTAAAGTGGGAGTTTTGTGAATGGAAATCACCTCCTATATTTTGCCCAGTGTAAGGAAAGCATCTTAAACATGATTGTATTTAGTTTTCTTACTAAGCTGGGAAGCCACTTCAGTGTTGTACGATAAACAAGCATTTAGTTACCATGATGAAAAAATAGGAGTTCTTGATTGTATAGGGGCTATTTCATATTACAAGTGAAAAATGGCATGCTTAATAAATATACTCTGAAAAAATAACCCATTTGCAAACTCATGTCTGTAGTCATCACGAGAGCAAGCCAAGAAAGAGCACGACTAGCCCTAGGTTTTGCAAGGGCCTTATTCAGAGACAGAAGTGCAGAACTCCTGTTTAAAAATCCTCTCCTCCTCTGTGCGCTGGCACTCTGGCTCTGCTATCTTCCACAATCTGGAACTATTTGGTTAGAGCACCCACCAGAACTGCGAGCCCTAGGCACTCTCCCTAGACACTGCACACTCCCAGGATGCACCAGTGTGGGAGCTCCTTCTGTGCACCAAAGCATGAAGGCGCCTTCCCTCCACCGCTATATGCTTTGCATGCTGTGCAGGGGCTTAGGTAAGGGCTTTTCAAGGGCTCTCCTCCTGTTTTCCCCATTGACAAACAGCCCAATTCACCTAGCCGCCTGCTCCTTTCAGGTGAGGGGTGGCTGTACTTGGATGAGAACTTAGCTTAGTTTGGTTGGAAAGTGGATTTGTACGGGCACTGGGGGCCTTTGGGGCCAACGAGGCAGCTAGTGGAAAGAGTCTGCCCAGTGAAGCATCAAGCTGTCTTCCTTAGCAAGTCCACAGCTATGGTCACTCCAGGCCGATTGCATAGATGACCTCAGTCCCTGTTTATAAGTTCTTACATTTTTCAACACTTAGTTAAATTAAACATTCAGCAACGAGGGTGATTTCCATACTGCTCATTAAGATTCAGCTCTTAGACTGCTTAACAATAATAATGAAAATCCTTTAATTACATCAATTTACTAATGGGGACAGGCTTTCTTCCCCAGCTTTCCTAGCATTCAAAAAGCACCACTTTTGCTCAACTATTTAAATAAATAAATAAAAAATTCACCTTCAGGTGGAGACCTGGTCTGACAGATTTTTACCAAAAAGATTTTCAAGTCCCGTACAATTCTAAAAAAGGAGTTAGAATGGAAAGTATGTATCTTTAACTCCAATGACTGCATCCATTAGGATACGGGGTGTATCTCAATACCTTTTCCCCTATTTCTGTTCTGTCTCCACTAGGAAGAATCTCTATATCAGGCAGAAGTGCACAAGCCTCAATCACACGTTTATACTGGCTCTCTTTCATCTCCCTCCCAAAGATAATATTGTCCTTCAGAGCTGCATTCTGTATCCAGGCTTGTTGAGGAACATAGGCAACTGAGCCCTATAAGAAACAAAAATTAGCTATTCAGTATTTCACTCTATTTAAATAACATCTCACAGACATCCTCAAAGCACCATGCAAACAATAATCACATTCAACATCCTTGTAAGAGATGTATGATGCCCATCATACAATTGGGGAAAACAGCGCTAGTGTATGTTTTACAGTGCAGCTGAGAGTGCGCTTCCCAGTGCAGGCAGACAGATGCGTTAACTCTCCTTAGCTAGCATGCTAAAACAGCATGTGGCTGTGGCAGCTCAGGTTAGCCATGCTCTTCTACAGCAATCATGTTGCAAGTATGTTTTGGGGAATGGGCTTCAAATGGAACATGCTCTCCCCTCCCCGCCCCTCAACAACCACCTTGCTGAATTCTCCATGCAAATACACGTGCTCAATAGAAGTAGTGAATGCTAAAAAGTAGGGCTGTCACGCGATTCAAAAAAAATCAAAAATTTAATATATTTTTTTAAAATTGCACTGTTAAATAATAGAATACCATTTATTTAAATATTTTGGGATATTTTCCATGTTTTCAAATATATTGATTTCAATTACAACACAGAATACCAAGTGTACAGTGCGCACTTTATATTTATTTTTTATTACAAATATTTGCACTGTAAAAATAAAAAATAGTATTTTTTAGTTCACCTAATACAAGTGCTGTAGTGCAATCTCTATCATGAAAGTTGAACTTATAAATGTTGAATTATATACAAAAATAACTGCATTCAAAAATAAAACAATGTAAAATTTTAGAGCCTGCAAGTCCACTCATTCCTACTTCTTGTTCAGCCAGTCGCTCAGACAAACAACTTTGTTTACATTTGTAGGAGATAATGCTGCCAGCTTCTTGATTACAATGTCACCTGAAAGTGAGAACAGGCGTTCTAATGGCAATGTTGTAGCCGGTGTTGCAAGATATTTATGTGCCAGATGCTCTAAAGATTCATATGTCCCTTCATGCTTCAACCACTATTCCAGAGGACATGTACGTGCTGATGACTGTTTCTGCTTGATGACGATCCAAAGCAGTACGGACCGACGCATGTTCGTTTTCATTATCTGAGTGAGATGCCACCAGCAGATGGTTGATTTTCTTTTTTGGCGGTTCGGGTTCTGTAGTTTCCGCATCGGAATGTTGCTCTTTTAAGGCTTCTGAAAGCATGCGCTATACCTTGTCCCGCTCAGATTTTGGAAGGCATTTCATATTCTTAAACCTTGGATCAAGTGCTGTAGCTTTCTTTAGAAATCTCACATTGGTACCTTAATTGCGTTTGTCAAATCTGCAGTGAAAGTGTTCTTAACATAAAGAACATGTGCTGGGTCATCATCCGAGTCTGCGACAATATGAAATACATGGCAGAACGCGGGAAAAACAGAGGACATACAATTCTCCAAGGAGTTTAGTCACAAATTTAATTTACACATTTTTTTTAATGAATCAGCATGGAAGCATTTCCTCTGGAATGGTGGCCAAAGCATGAAGGGACATACGAATCCGAAGAAGTGGGCAGTAGCCCACGAAAGCTTATGCTCTAATAAATTTGTTAGTCTCTAAAGTGCCACAAGTACTCCTGTTCTTTTTACGGACATACGAATGTTTAGCATATCTGGCACGTAAATACCTTGCAATGCTGGCTACAAAAGTGCCATGCAAATGCCTGTTCTCACTTTCTGGTGACACTGTAAATAAGAAGAGGGCAGCATTATCTCCTTTAAATGTAAACAAACTTGTTTGTCTTAGCGATTGGCTGAACAAGAAGTAGGAATGAGTGGACTTGCAGGCTGTGAAGTATTACATTGTTTTGGTTTTGAGTGCAGTTATGGAACACAAAAATCTGCATTTGTAAATTGCACTTTCATGACAGAGATTGCACTAATGTACTTGTACAAGGTGAATTTTGATTTAGTTGGGGTTGGTCCTGCTTTGAGCAGACGGTTAGATTCGATGACCTCCTGACATCTCTTTCAACCCTAATCTTCTGATTCTATTAACTGAAAAATACTATTTTTTGTTTATCATTTTTACAGTGCAAATATTCATAATAAAAATATATACTTTGATTTCAATTACAACACAGAATACAATATATATGAAAAATTTAGAAAAACAACAAATATTTAACAAATTTCAATTGGTATTCTATTGTTTAACAGTGTGATTAAAACTGCGATTAATTGTGCTTCATTTTTTTAATCGCAATTAATTTTTTTGAGGTAATCGCAGGAGTTAACTGCGATTAATCAACAGCCCTACTAAAAAGACATTCAGGCTCATATCTTGACTAAGACTGCTTCGGAAATGCCTGTGTCACTGCTGAATGATTAAATGAAAGATTGGAGTATTTCTCCCCCCTTTCCCATCACATACAACAGGATGTAAGGAAAAAGATGGCTTGTGTTGAATATTTTTTCTGTTAAAAAAATGGGAGGGGAGAGAGGGGAATGGGGGTTGAAACATGAGAATTCATGTCTTGTCCACTTTGTTTTTCTAGGACGATTCAAAGGATGACCAAATTAATAAAACTCCATCATAGGCACAAAGGAAATTAAAGTCAATTTTTTTTTTTAAGAGGGGAAGTGATTTTTTTCAGATAATTTAAGAACAACGTTGGATTTTTCGACTGAAATCTGTATTAAGAACAAATTTACAGCTGGAAAAAAGGTCTTTGTAAGAGATTCAACCCTGCCCTCTCCCTTTCAATTTAGGGCTGAGAGAGCTTCCAAATCATTTCTCTAGGTCCTCCACAAAGACCTGCAAAAACAGGAACAAGGTTTTATATTCCTGATATTTCTATGATAAAAACAAAATTTGAATACACCATGCACACTTTCAGGCCTCTTTGTACATCATAATGCAGCACAAGCACAATTCCTCCCCCACCGACACCCATAAAAAATAACTTGTTAATTTGAGAGGCTTTTATCCCCCCTCATGCTACTGAAGTGATAACACTTCCAAAGTACCCACAAACAGAACGGTTATCCAGACATTTCCTACCTTGACAGCCACATATCCTTCCCTCTTGTCCATCTCTCCTAGAAGGGCAGACAACAATGAAGACTTTCCACAGCCAACCTGTCCAACAACGGCAATCAGGGAGCCTTCAGGGACAGTGAAATTAATGCTGAAATAAATCACACAGAGTTCAGCCTTGCTTGATACAATACCACACACAAATAATAGTGAGCATTTTATTGTAGAATCAAATACAGAGAAACACCAGATACAATTAGAACATCTGCTCTATAGCTGCTGACAATTGCAATACAGTCCATTGGTTCTTTAACAAGAACATGAATCTGAGAATTCAAGCTTCTATATGCAGAACGTGCTCAGCTCTGCTTATACATAAACAATCATAGTCTCAGTATGTGATCAGGCCTCCAAAAAGCAGCTGCCAAGACCATCCTTCTTGCCCACCAGTCTGATACTCTCACCCTTGCTTGAAACTCTGCACCAGCTTGACCTCATATTGCCTATGCAGCACTATAAATATGCATGGTGTTTTACAAACACCAAGCAACGTCTGCGTCCCAGAAAACATATGATCAAAAACAAGGGAGAGGATAGGGAGAAGGGAAGACTTTCAAGCAAAAACATCCTGCAGGTGCATTGGTTAGCACTGTGTGCATCCTGAGGATTTTGTAAGGTTCCTCTCCTACCCATCCCCAGTACTGGAACAAAGAGGGCTATAGATAAGATGTTTAAGGGGGAGACTTGGAGGATAGGGTAGAAACATGGCAGGGAAGGGGATACAGGTGTAAGGAGCCCCATGGATGAAGTCATAAAACAAGAAAGGGGCTGGTTAGTTGTGTAGCTCACAGCTTCTACTAACTACAAGCTATTCTCATCACTTTGAGCCTCCGGAGAACTCTGCTCCTACCTCCATCTTCTCTTCCTCTACCCTAGCCCACTGCATATGCTCTACACCAGATTTTCTCCTGGCTATTCCTTTTGACTCCTTACCCCACTAATAACTTTGTCTTCTTTCGTACCAACCTGTATGCTTGAAAGAGAGACTCCTAATTAATTGGAGGATGCAAAAGCTCCCTTCCCATTCAACAGTCTCTCCCCCGCCCCTCCCCAAACAAAACCCACACACCTTATAAAGCATGGAACATCCTATCTATGACTAAGTGAAATGTGTTTGTATTGCTGTTCCTTTAAGGTTGTAAGCTCTTTGGAGCACAGACATACCATTTTAGCAGAGCTTATTTATTGTGCAGTGATGCACACACTTCAAGCTCTACAGAAACAATTAAAAAAGTGATAAAAATTTAGTGCAATTATAGGCCAGAACTAATTAGGATACCAATTCTTACTCATTCAGTGAGGGAGGATCAGTTCTTGACCAACTAAATGTTGCATTCTTCACAATAATGCTTCCTTCAGCTAGCAAATAATGAAAGAAAAATTATGTTTAGACGCAGACCAATAAGGAAACAGTTGTATGATGTACACTGCACTGTGCCATGGGAAGTAAATCCAGGCACACACACAGAGGCAGGTCCAATGCTATTTTAGTAACAGAACTCCAGCACTGTTTTCGTTAATAGCTCACGCTCCATTCTGACTGATTCTACAAACAGGGCTGGGGTTCTCAAGTTACAATCATTGGCTGGCCACGGCACAGGTATGGCAAGAAAAGCAAGTATATCAAAATACTACCTTGATATGCAACTGGCAGGACTTTGACTCCCTGTGTGTATTCAATCTGCTTCCCTTTCCCAACAAATTAGATTTTACTATTTACTCCTTTTAACACTGTAAAGCCAACAAAGAAGCCAGTTGAGGAAGCTGGATTCTATTCGGACTTACGATTCAAAGGAAGCACTAAAGGCTGAGTTAACAAAACTGACATTAGAAAAAGCAGCCCTAACTTGTAAACAGAACAATTTTGAACTGAAAATCAACAAGAGGCACTTTTCCTACAATGCCACATTGCACATTCACTTTTCAGACTTTAGAGCAGTGGTCACCAACCAGTCAATCACGATCAACTGATCGATCCTGGGGACTCTCCCAGTCAATGGTGATCTACGGCGGTGCCACTGGGTGCCACTAAGGCAGGCTCCCTGTCTGCCCCAGCCCCACACCGCTCCCGGAAGTGGCCAGCGCAGCCCCATGTGGGGATGGGCAGGGGTCTTAGCATGCTGCTCCTGCCTGCAAGCACTGCCCCCGCAGCTCCCGTTGGCCAGGAACGGGTAACTGTGGCCAAAGGGAACTGAGGGGCCGGTGCCGACAGAAAGGGGCAGCATATGGAGCCACAGGGATACATTGTCCCCTTCTGGGAGCGGCATGGGGCTGGGGCAGGCAGGGAGCCTGCCTTAGCCTCACTCCGCCACCGATCAGGAGCTGCCTGTGGTAAGTGCCGCTCGATGGGAGGCTGCACCCCAACCCCCATCCCCATCCCAGAACCAGCACCCCATAGCCCCTCCTGCACCCCAAGCCCCAGCCCTGATCCCACACCCCAAACACCTCCTGCACCCCTACCCCAGCCCTGAGCCCCCTCCCACAGCCAGCACCTCAAACCCCCTCCTGCACCCCTGCCTTGACCCCCCCCAAGCCAGCACCCGCACCCTGCACCTCCCCGTGCATCCCAACACTCTGCCCCAGCCCAGAGCACCCTCCTGTACCCAAAACTCCCTGACAGAGCTTTCACCCCATACCCTCTCCTGCACCCCAACCCCTTGCCCCAGGCTCAGCCTGGAGCCCCCTCCCACACTGCAAACCCTTCGGCCCCAGCCCAGAGCCCGGACCCCCTCCAAAACCCGACCCCCTCTCCCAGCCTGGTGAAAGTGAGAGAGGGTGGGGGAGAACAAGCCAACGTGAGGGGGTGGGGGCAGATCCTGGGTTGCCCTTAAATTCAACAAGTGATCTTGGCTGTAAAAAGGTTGGAGACCACTGCTTTAGAGGGACACACTTTCATATCTACCAATCCCAGCGGAGCAGGAAAAAAAAAAGCCACTGTAAAGCCAACAAAGAATCCAGTTGAGGAAGCTGGATTCTATTCGGACATGCGATTCAATTGAAAAAAGGAAGAAGGCAGATAATGGTCATAGCAAGAAACTCTGCTGATAGGAAAACCAAGTGGATCTAGTAATGGAGAACCCACCTGAATGCATGAGAGCGAGAGAGAAAATATTGTATTAGCTTTATAAAAAGGATGACTAGGGAATCAATTATCAGGGTTTAAACCAGCTGTAAGAGCAGCACATTTTACAACATGGGGCATTAAGATTCTACAAAACCCTACAGTTCTGTGATAAATCCACAGAGACATAAATTTATAGTGCAGCATTACCTAAAGGTCACTACCAGGTAGGGCCCTGCCGTGCTAGATACTATACAAACATAATGACTGACAGTCCCTGCGTAGAATGGGAGACTGGAGTAGTATTAATTGTATTTAAGCAGAGTTGGATGACTACATGCAATTCCATAAATGAAGAGAGGTGTGTGTCACTGTGCTGGGGAGACGCTGACTCTTTCTGGGCCTCAGGAGTGGTGTTTAGATGCTCTCCACAAAAGTGATTATGGGTTTTCAGTATGGGAGTGCTTTTGCCATCTTCTGACCTACACTGACTGCTACATGAAAATTACTTTTCTGCAAGGTGTCCACTGTGTCCATTTAAAGGTGATTAATTTAATTACAATAACCCTACTTGTTTCTTACTGACACTGGACATGAGCATTTTATACTATGGACAAAAGGGAAGGGGGGGAAAAAAAACCTCGAAGAAATTGCACAAAAATTGAATTGAAAAACCCAGATTTCTCTTGCCAGATACATAACTTCCACAAATTGCAAAAATTTATTACAAAGGCCCACAAAGACACTTTAGAACCCACCCAAAACATGCTCTATTGGGCTCCAATACTTGTAGTTTGTAGCACTGGAAATTAACACGACAAACTAGAAGCAAATAAAAACTATACAAAATAAGGACTTACCATCTTTGATAGAACCTCTGATTACGCTATCTGGCTCTAACTCTTCATGCGAGAGAAATAACCTGAGACGCTTTAAGGAAACACTTGCCTAAACATGAAACAATTGAAAAACTATTTTACACACAGCTTATAAAAAATACTGTTTCATTTTGCTTGGTTAACTAGATGTTAAATCCAGTATATTCTTCCCACTGTAGCCACCACAAGCCACTTCACCCACCCCCTCCTCAGAGTGGAAAAAACAGACAGGCATTTATTTGTAGTGCAGTAACACCCATAGGGCACAACTAGGATTGGGGTCTGATGGTGCTAGGTGCTGTACAAAGGGTATATCTATGCTAGAGAGGTTATACCAGCTGGCCTACATCAGCATAGCTACGCTGGCATAGCCTCAAATGAAAACAACTACACCTAGGAAGGAGGTTTTCTGTCAGTGTAGTAATACCCCCTCTTTGAACAACACTTCCATCGACGTAGCTATGCCTCTACTGGGGGTTATGTTGGCATCACATCTCCTCTCCTGACCAACACAGCTATGTCAATGTAACTTTCAAGTGTAGATCAAGCCAAAACATACAGGAAAATAAGAGACCCAAAAACTTTACCTTCTAAGGTGACTGCATTTCAGTGGTGAGTAGAGAGAAGAAACTTCTATGTGCATATAGGACTGTAAGGCTTTAAAGCATTCACAGACCTCAAAAAAGCCACTATATATAGAAATAATCACTTTGGAGTTAATCAGTCGCTAATATTAAAATCTTACCTGTACCACGCTGCTGATGACCATAGGAAGAATATTCAGTGGGAACCTGAGGATGTTGAATAAAGCTAAGGAAACAAAAGCTTTCTGAGCATCCAAGACATTGTTCTTATCTACCAGTACATAAACAGCAAAGGTCGATAAAGCAACCTAAAAACAAAGAGGGAATAATCACGGTCTGTTTTCTTTACGCTTACATTTTTAAATTCAAAGACAATGTCTTCTCTAATAACTAGAGCCATATTTACACACTGCAAGGCAATTAAACAAAAACTCATTCTTAAGAACAAGAAAATAATTAGAATAAGCCTTTGCAAAACAAGTACTGGGCCTTAACGGTTTTGTTATTCAGCAGCTGCTGGCTTCTCTTGGAAAACTTTAAGGAAAAAAAAGTCACTCTTTACAGAACAAAGGTGAGACAAGGCAAAGCAGAAAAAGAAAGTATGCGGATTAACTCAGCTGTACCAGGTTGCGTGTTTATTTTTTTGCTTCCTCTGCCTTCTAATCACCTTTTCCCTCTGCTAGTTACAATCACTGCACTGTGCCACATTTCTGAACAGCTCTGAAGGTGGGCACACAGCTAATGTAACTAAGACAACTTAGATCTTGCCCACACTACATTTTGTAGAAGGCTACCAACAAGCCTGGTTTTCACAAGCATAGCTTCCATAACTGGGGATAGAAGAATCATTTAAGAAATGTGTTCTTAAGTATACTAGAAAATAAAACTCTACAGTACCCCACCCAGTTCAGGAAAAGAATCACTGTGCGCACACAGGTGCTGGAACTAGGGGTTTTAAGGGTGCTGCCACACTCTCCGGCTTGAAGTGGTTTCCATCATATACAGGGTTTGCCGTTTGGTTCAATGGCTCTCAGCACCGCCACTATACCAGTTGTTCCACCACCCGGGTGCATACTTAACAAAGAAACTATATGCTTGACTATGTCATCAATAACTACATTTAAACAGTGTGGCTAAGGCATTATGTACTGACAAAGAAAACAATAAGATAACAAAGACTAGCACAAAGCCAGGCATGGCTGCTACTAAAATTCCTCCCTTAAGACTGCTCAGCTCACCTTTCAGCTCCTCTTCTCCCTGACAGCTACTCCCACATGCCTTATACCAAGGTGGTATAATAAATCATGTGCCTCAGTATATCAGCAGCACCCAATAATGCTTTCCCAGCAAAATCATCACCTGCTATCCAGTTTGAGGCATGAAAGTGCCAACAATCTTACATTTAGTTAGAAAGACTAAACCCCACTTTATTTACCTAATGCATAGATTGCTTTTCTTAGTTCTGCATGAGGTCTATTTAAAAGCTTATGTAAAAGCCTATTTAACTGCTATGAAGGCATGTACTGTTTTTCTTACGCCTGCTGACTCAACTGTGCATGGTAAGGTAGCTTGTTTACATGTTCGTTTATTCAGACAGATTCCTACAGTGAAAAAATCCCTCCTGTAGAGAGAATGAAAAACAAAGAAGGGTTCAAACAATAACTTTAAAGGCAGAAAGTTTGCACGTTCCTGTGTTACTGGAATCTATATTAAAATAGACTTATCAGCACACTCTGCCACAAAAAGGTACAATGACGTGAGCAGTTTCATGAAACAGATACTGAACAATTTTATAAGGAGCCCTGGTCAGAAGAGCTACAAAGCAGGGCAAAAAGGAAGAGGGTGCATGGGAAAGGAATGACCCAATTTGAAAATCCTTTGTGCTTGCTATAGTTCTTCATAAGTTGTTATCCTGACTGATAAAAACCGGGGAAAGAGAAAGTTATAAAATATCCCCTCCCTCAGAGTCAAATCCTGCTCTTGTAGAAGCTTGGGGATACCTCTCCCTTTAACCTGGGGTATGTCTACACTTACCGGAGGGTCCGGCGGCAGGCAATCGATGTTCTGGGATCGATTTATCGCGTCTGGTTTAGACGCGATAAATCGATCCCGGAAGTGCTCGCCGTCGACGCCGGTACTCCAGCTCAGCGAGAGGAGTACGCGGCATCGACGGGAGAGCCTCCCTGCCGCATCTGGACCCGCGGTAAGTTCGGACTAAGGTACTTCGAATTCAGCTACGTTATTAATGTAGCTGAATTTGCGTACCTTAGTCCGAAGTGGGGAGTTAGTGGGGACCAGGCCTTGTATGCGAGCAGGTCCATTGACAAACAAACATTCGTAACACACGGGTGTTTAGGGAACTGGCTACGGAAATCAATCATCTTGGCTTCAACAGAGCTAAATTGAAATAAGGAAAATCCCTCTGCGGAGCTGTATTTAGGAACCTAGTAAATCGGCTTTTTAAAAAGCCATCTCAGCCTTCTTTTAGAAAAAGATTCACTAAAGAATACTTCTGACATTTCCTACGCAGGATGCTGCTTCTTCTGCCTTTTATCATACCAATGTCATGTAAACATGAACAGCACTTGGAGGGAAGGAATCCATGAGTGGAAAGAACACTTAAACACCTTCAAACGGAACATACATATTTTACCCTAATGTAGGCATGGTTTGTTTGCTTCTGCCAGATGACGATAGCAATGGCCCTTTGTTCTATTAGGGGCACAAGCAATTTTAACACAATTTGTCTCCTCTCTTCCTTTTCCGTGTAAATTCAAACCAGCCATAAATAGTCAGAGACCATATTTAAATGTGGAACAAAAGCTTTTTAAAAGTTAGAATGATCCCAGGCTAAAGAACAGCCCTCTCCCGCCAAATCAGCTTTACCAGTGTGGGTGGGAGAAAAGAGGCATCCACACACATCTATGTAGGACTAGTATGTGGTGTGCTTGGAAATGCAGAATATTCATTTTGATTAACGCTCTCACTTGGGAATCTGTATAGCATGCACTTCTATAATGTAATTTTTTTCCAGAAAAATTACAAAGTATAAATGTTAATGTAAAGGGAAGTTCTAAGAGGTGCTTCCTAGATAATCTATATATAATAATGACCTCCTGGAGGGCATTTTGTTCCAGTTTGTGACCAAATTACTATTATTACTATTTACTCCTTTTAAGTTCCAACAACAATTGCAGTACTGGTGAAAATGAAAGCCTAAGAACTAATCAAGTCACTGCCTTAAAGTCGGGAAATGTTTAACTTGGAGGTTGTTAACATTTAAAAAAAAAAAAGTCTAGAGAAATACCTTTTCTAAAAGTGCTGAAAAGTTGACTGTTGAACTGCATGTTGCTGTGGATAGAGTTCTGGTTACAAGACTGAGTTCTCTGAACAGTGAAAGACCAGTACAGTAACTAATAGGAAAGCAGGACTTTGCTCTCACTGTTGCTTTGGGCTTCTACCACCCAGCAAAGCACAACTTCAAACCTGTTTTACTTACCAGAAAAGGAGCGCACACCCAAGTGAACGTAGACACTGCTGCAAGGTAAGCAGACTTTTTAAGCACTTTCAGCTCTTCCTGTCTGATCCCCAATATTTTCTCTTTGAAGGCTAATTCCCAAGCATAAAGTTTCAGCACTTTAATCCCATTGAGAATTTCATTCATCAGCTTAATTCTGTTGTCTTTGCTCTTCATATGGGCTACCTAAAATCCCATTACAAAGAAACAAGTCATTAGCATAGCACAATACTTGGCATGTCTACAAAGCCGTTTGAATAAACCGATTTAGCCCATACAAGTTTCTTAACTGTATATTTTGTGTTGGCGAATTATTATGGGGAAAGACCACTTACAAATGCAAGTGAACAACAAAAGTGCCGCCTTACCAACAAATACGGAACTGCAGAATTAAACAAACATTTTAACTAATTAGGGGTGGTTTTGAGGAAAGGCAAAAACAATTTCCAACAAAAAAAGTCAGCCATCTTTGTAGAATTCAGGAACTTGATGGTCCCTACTGGCCTTAAAAAGTCTATGCATTTATGTACAAAATGCGGTTTAAAAAAGTAACTCCATTATACCCTTGAGCGCCAATGATATACAATTTGTATCTAGCCCTTGGCTACCCCACACACTTTTCATTCTGTTCAGACTCCTGTTGGCTCATAGCTCATGTCTTCCAGTCAGCAGCAGGAACAAACCTATCTTCCCTTCTTGCTACTTAACTTCTGAGCATTTTTCTCCCCACTACACCATGAGGCTACACTTATATGTTCACTTCAGAAGCCTCCTACCTCCTAGAGGCCTTTCCAAATTCAGGAAAAGAACCTTTGAAAAGATGTACCGTTCTAGGCACGGATGGAGTGTGAATCAGTATAGAACAGTTAGGAATTCCGAGTTCTAATCTCAGCTCTGCCACTGACTCATACCATGTCACCTTGGGCCAGTCACATATCACACCTGTACCTTATTTATAAGTACATTATACAGGTATTACCTTCATTATAAAGGACATCTATAGAATGAGGAAAATACCTACCTACTGTTCCTCAAAGGAATGTGGGGAAGCTTCATCAGTGGAATGGGGCACTTGAAGAGGCTTGGATGAATGCACTATGCAAGTGCAAAATTCAAAGGAGTTTCACTTTATTTGGGTGGCAGCAGGGTCATATGATTCAATGCAATGGTCCCCATTAAGGGTCAACATTTACCCACAGTAATCAGACTCTGATACCTAGGAAATCTCAGCTATTTCGTATTCTGGACTTAAATTTTCAACTATAGTTCACAGAAAAAAAAAATGACCATAATCAAATGGATTTGTATTCTTTGACCTGATTAGTTTGAAAACCAAAACTGAGAGTCAAGGAGTTTTGTGGGTATTCTAAGAGGTTTGTTAACAGACTGACATTAACATAAGAAGAGTAGTCTACAAGCATCCCAAAGTTAAGCTTAACAGCATTCCAGTCGTGTCCCAAATTCAGTAATACACTTGATTCAAACACTCTGGTGTACACATTTCTTAGAAGAGTCAGCTAAAAGCCAGTTTAAACACTTAACAGCACGCATTTTATCTATCATCTCAGGCATTCTGTTGAGTTGGAGAAAGGTACCTTACCATTGTATTGGAAGTTACTGCATTTTACATGTGACTTAAAAAAGCTACACTGCAACACAACATTGCAGGACACTGGTGCATTTTTATTTTGGAAGAGTTTTGTGCATTAGCTTTGCTAGTCACTGGTGGGAAGGCTACTGTCAGGCAGCACATGCCCATTATAAAAAACACACTGGCACACAGGACAAGAATTTGAATAGTAAGCATAAAACTTTCATGAATTGAATGGGTCACACAGAACAGTAAAATAGTAACATGTCTTAAAGCATATACACATACAAACAAACATGAAGTGTCATACCTGATATGTTTTTGTCTTCATTGCCATCACAGCATTTACTGGAACCAAAAGGATCATGACTGCCACACCTGCTAGGACAGAAGGACCTAAATTCTAAGAGGGGGGAAAAAACAAACAATAAAAACCAAACCACATTTATACACACACACACACTATTTAGAAAATGTTAGCATACACCTTTAAAGATCTTATATCAAAGCATTCTATGTAGCGTAAACCCCATGTGTATATATAATTTTTCTATCCCTTTCCTCCCTCCTTTTTTGACTAAAGACATATGCAGATAATTATGATCTTTGCTTCTTCAAAGCTAAAATGCAAGTCCTTCCCGACATGCCTCTCAACTTTTTGTTGGTGCTATTCTTTCAAAGTAGAATACAGGGGGGTGAGTTTCTAAGATTCTGCCTTAACTTCCTGGCTGTAAGCAGAACCGGGGCTGCCCTTCTGATAAGTACCTGGACTAGAAACAGCAGGCATTATCCCATCCCATGATGGGTGCTGGGATGATGAATCATCTGCCCACTTCTCCACCAAATGACACAGCGTAAGCAGAGTCCCAACAGCTAACTGGGTGCTCTAGAAGCACAGGACGCCCAAATTCACATGACACATGAAAGGGCTGCTTAGCTGGCCAGCCACTGGGGCCCAAGACTGCTAAGTGGAGGAAGGGCTGTTGACAGGACACTCACTTTCTACACAGGGAATGTGTAAGAGAAGCCTTTGTCCCAGCATGGTACTTGAGGAGGCTTGGGCTAGATTTGCAATTGAGAGCCCTCTACCTCCTCTCTTCCATCACAGCGGCAGCATACTGCCCTAAATGGTTCTCCATGCAGATTCTCACTCTCGCATGTTCTATACTCTCCAATGGTCTGACATTAGCTATCTATAGTCTTGAACTTCAGAGGAAAACACCTGGCCACTAGTTGCATTCACCTACCATAATTAAACAGGAAAACAAGAAGCATGACATAATTACCTGCCATAATAAATACAATGCTAATATAACTTGCAGAGGCGCAGACCAAATCATGTTTATATACGTAGCCAAGTCCATGAACCTCTGAGCATCCACAGACATTAGATTTACAATCTCCCCAACAGTAGACGTCTTTCTTGCAGAATTTGTGATAACCAATGCCTGTGTGTAGATAAAAAGGAAGATACTGACTGTAGTAGGCAAAACAGCTTCACAATTTGCCTTTATTTCATACTGCAGCATGAACAGCTTTTTCTGGAGTTTAATTTGTGGTCACAGGCAATGCTTCTCTTACGTACAGTATTGCTTTTTTCCTGCATGCCTAAAAAGCACTGTATACTGAATACACAGTTTTAATCAGGGTTAAATTAACCAAGGGTTAAAAACATGAGCAAGTTGTTTTTGTTTGGGGTTTGTTTGGTTTTAGTGTCGGGGTTGAGTGATGGCTTCTTGTCATATGTTTTCCTGCCTCACCTCCTGCAGAACAGCTAGTCTAAAGTCTATTTTTTAAATAGTTCCAGGTTGTTTCAGGCTGAGGTTGTGCAGACTGGTGCCTGCTTGGTTGCTAATAATCCTCTCATTTTACTGACGTCTGTCCCATTTCTGTGCAGATGGAAGTTTAGTTCCCATTCCAAGGTAAGATGTGAAATAGGTTGGGGTTTTGTTGTACATGATCAATAAAAGCAGCTTCTTAACTGAAAGTATCTTTAATTTACAGCTGTGGGCTGAAGGAGGTCTCTTACATTCTGTTTACCATTAAATACCAGCCTGGGCAAAGCATACCAGCTAGTTAAAATTATGTAATTTACTCAAGTTCATCACTAAGATTTTATTGCAGCTCCCCCGCCCCAATTTTCAGAGGTGCCATTACTCTGGTGATGATGTAACATTTCAAACATGCATACCTTGCGATAGACTGCACCAATGACAGCTGTTTTAAGCCTCATTCCAGTAACAAAGCAAATATGGAAGTACTGGTGGAGGATCAGAGTCTGCAGACAGGCACATGCAAATAGAAGCCCTGTGTACAGATAGCCTTGCCAATTTGGGGCATCTTTATCATTCACAAAGTTAATTAACAACCTGTGAAGAGAGAATTTGGCAAGGTTAATGCACATTGTCAGAGCTTATCAAAATTTCCAAACAATGACTAGATTATTCCAGACATATCGGTCACATGATATCCCAACAGACGCATCAAACTGGCAATAGCAAACACTCAGGAACACTAGAGTGTGGCCTCAGTCAAGTCACAAGATTTTTACCCAGACTTTGTAACTGAGAGGTCCCCCGAATTCCCCCACCACACACCGCCTTCCTATCCCACCAGCATGGGTCCCATTCCTAAGTGTCCCTAGCTATAATCTGGAAGATTGAACTACCAAACTTTCTCAGAAACTTCTAATATAGGTCTTCTTGGATGTACTGACAGAAGTGATCACTAGTAAGGCACATGGCTATCTCAAAAAGAGAATGAGCAGAATACATTGCATAGGCTCTGCACTGACTCAGAGCTACTGCCACAGAATTGTTTCACCACCATCCAAACTAAAGGTACATCATTTCTACTTAGTGTTCCACTTCTTCCCTTACATTATACCAGCACACCTTTTCCCCTCACCCTTCCATTGCTTCACCTACTGATTTTAAGCATTACTTTTCGCTTCAGGAGCCTTTAGACCCTCTCTGTGATCCCATGAACTGTCACAGATTAACATTAGCTTAGATGAAGCAAGTTTCCTGCTGCATCTGAACTTCCATTGTCTGACCTTCCTAGTGTTAAAGGTCACTCTCAGAGCATCAGAAGGGAATTGGAATGCTAGATCCCAAATTGGAAACCAGTGAAGCAAAGTCATTTGCATAGAAACTCTAGTGCAAAAGGAAGCAACTTGTCAGCTGTAGCAGCTAAAGGAAGAGTAGTCTGATATTAGCGAGAAGGAATCAAAGAGATCTACCTAGGTACTTTGTATAAACAGAGGAACTGAAGAAAGCATTAAAGGAAGTCTTACTTTAAGATTTCCGGGCCAGAAAACATCATAAGATCATGACAGGCTTTAAACAGGAAACTCATGAGGAAGTACGGTCCAAAGGTTTTATACAACACTTTCAACAGAGAAGGTGCAGAGTTCCTTTGAGATGGTTTTACAATCAAAGCTTCAACTTCTTCTGTCACATCGCCATTTGAGTTGCTGGATTTCATTTGCTTTTTGGGTGAATACACCATTTTTATGGCTTGCCTACAATAATAATAATAATAATAATAATAATAATAGTAATAATAAAGAAACATTTCTTTAAATCATTAGGACATTCTACTGAATCACACTGACAACTATTTAAAATTAATGACAGTGACTCTTCTGTAAAATTGAACATAAGAATGCAGAGTCTTAAAATGAGAAGTCTACTCCAGTTGCCAAGAAAAAGTAGCTTAGAGTATGTCTACACTTACTGTGACATCCAGAGTACAAACACTGCACGCCCAGCTAGCGCAAGTTTAAATAGCAATGTAGTCAGTGAGGTGCAGCTTAGATGGGTACCCCACACAGCCTACACAGAGTATATACCCTGGGATTCAGCTATCTACTTGCCCAAGCCATACCTCCCATGTCTAACATTTTATTTTTTAGCAGTGTAATGTCTTGTTGCTGGAGACTTTCCCACTGCAGTGAATGACTCCAGCAGTGGGGAAAGGCTCTGGCAGGGGAGACAGCAGGGAAAGGCTCCAGCAGCAGGGAGGTAAGCAGGGAAATGCTCTGGCAGCTCCCCACAGCTGGAGCCTTTCCATTGCAGCATGTAACTATGCATGTAGTGCATGTACTCTACACGTCATAATGAGTGTAGACATAGCCTTAGGCCTACTCTACACTGGCAGTCGATTTATCATGTCTAAACTAGACGCGATAAATCGACCCCCGCTGAATTGATCACTGCCCATCGATCCAGCGGGTAATATAGACAAGCCCTTAGATACTCACCACCACAGGGATTTGCAGTCGTCATAATATTTGCCATCATTCCTTTCAGTAGCTCCAAGTGTCCCTGCATCAGAGATGGTAATTTACCAGCCACTTTTGGGACTGGTAAGCCAGTGTTTCATGACATTATGGAGGGATCTGTTTATCAGAAGCTACTAGCCTTTGGTTAACTGAGCAGCACTTCAGAACCCTAGTTTTTTTTTTCCTTGGGACAAATGTTCCTAAAAACCACATCCTATAGCTATGGAATACTCAGGTGTACAATTATATGTGAGTTGCAAAGTCAAACATGAGTTTATTATTTATATTACTGTAGCAGCCCTAGATCCTAGTTAATATTAAGGTCCCACTGTGCTCAACACTGTACAAATGGAGTTAATAGACACAGTCCCTGTTCTTAAGAGTTTACAACCTAAGAAAGAATTATGCTAAATCATCCCTAATGAGTAGAACGAAACCATAGTTAAGTTGATGAATCTGGTGTATGCCAAACCATATTTCCCAGTATTTGAGAACAGGCTGTATGTAAAACTATGTTTCTGTGTATACTATCTACCATGAGTGCTGGAACCAGGGGTGCTGTTGCACCCCCGGCTTGAAGTGGTTTCCATTGTTTACAGTTTGGTTCAATTGCTCTCAGCACCCCCACTATACAAACTGTTCCAGCATCCCTGCTATACACCTAACTAAATTGAGAACAACATATGAATTTAGAGTTTTTTCCTTCACTGGCCAGTCATTTCAGTATGCCGTGATGACGTAAGCATGAGAAAAATTTGTAGACAAAATGAACATTGGTTGAAAATTATACAAAATAGAAGACTGCAAAGGTTGTAGTCCATTTGCAAGCTGAGGAAATCTAAATTTAAAACAAACAAAAAACCCTCTTCTCTGACACATACACTCACAAGGTTACTCCTCAGTGTCTATGCACCTAAGGGCAAATCCTGGAGGTCCATACTCAATCCTTATTCAAGAAAGTGTCTAATGAGCTTATGGAAATTTGTCCGGGTAAGAACCAAATAATGATACTTTAATTGTCAAGGACTTCTGGAACATATTCATAATAATATGCATAACAAGTGGAATTAACCAACTGGATAAAAGCATGGATTGTGTTGTACTTCAGTACTATTTCTCAGTGTTAACAGCTTATTTTACTTTCACTCATGTATTATTTTACCTATAAATAAAATAGTTTCCTCTTCATATTCAGTTTTCTTGACATAAATGGAATTCAAGAAAAGTTTCCTGACTAAAATGGATCTTGACCAATGCCATCTAAGTTTCCTATATTAGCTACCACTTTGTATTAATAACTGTTAGCATAACTGAACTTACTTCTTTGTATTTGCACACTCCTTCTCCCAGTACCTAGCCAAACCTTGCACTACCTCCTCAGATGTGTCCTCTTTGTTTAATGACCACAAGTCTTTAGCTTCCAATGGTCGCCGATATCCCTGAATCATCAACCTATATTGGAAAGAATCATCGTCAGCAGCAGCATCCTTTAGAGAGTGCCAAAACAAGTTATACCTGGTATATCTAATTTCATAACACAGAGAACTGTTGATCCACCCCCAAAATGCAGCCAGCTGCGAAGTGAGATGCAGTAATTTATTTAACAATGCACAAAAAATTAAGATAAGTAGTAATATAGTGCTTAAGTGAAACTGCAAGGAGAATTTAGGAAGCAGAATGAAATTATCCCACTTGGAATTTAGCAATGCGATTAAAACTCATTTTATAAACTGAACAATAGAATGTTTATTAGCCTTCATTTTACTCTTACCTAAAAGGCAAAACCTTTACCTAAGACCATGCTGAGACACTGGCCAAGTCCTGATTAAGAAAGAATTTATAAGCTGCTTAATCACCTATAAGCCTTTAAGTGTTTACATATTCCTTAATGCTCTCCCATCCAAACAGTGATACCATGTAGCTTGAGATAGCGGATTTGATCACAATACAAGGAAGCACAGTTGTAGATAAATAAAACGAAGCAACTACAGATAACCAGGAGAAATTTTTTAAAAGAAGATTAGTGTATCATCTTCCAACAGTCAAAACGACACAGGTACTATAAGTTTGTTTCCACTCCACCACTCCTATACATCAAACATTAAAATGCATCATTTAATGATACATGTTTATGAGGCTACATATGCAACATCAGCAGAATTCAAGAGATTGAAGAGACCGGTCATTCGAAAATAAAAGTAATCATCCACGTATCAGTTTCCTGTAGTTAAGTGTCTATTGAACAATCGTAAAACTCTCCACAGGTCAGGAGAGCCTTAAGTATCTTCTGAAAGCACAATAGGTTGACACTTGACAGCTGCATTATACAATGACTTATTCTCTTACCCTGTAATCCACCAGAATGTAATTTTGGAAAGGAACGAAGCACTAGACTCTGGGCAGGGAATCTAAAGGAAAGGAAAGGAGAAAGATGTCAGCCATGTAAATAAAACCTATTGAAACAATTAAAAAAATACCACTTTTATCCTTCTGAAATTTACAACTTTATTATAACAATTCCTCAGCACCACTAAGTCCTCCTTTCTTGGTCATGCATGTTTCAGGGGGCTGCCAAGCAGGGCTGGCATTAGACTCGCTTGGGCCCAGGGCAGAAAACCAAAGCCCCACCGCATGGGGCTGAAGTGCAAGACCCGATGCACTGCCACCCGGTGCTGAAGCTGAAGCCTGAGCAACTTAGCTTCGCAGGGCCCCCGGGGCATGGGGTCCCAGGCAATTGCCCTGCTTGCTACCTACTAATACTAGCCCTGGCTTTTATATGAAGAAAAATAGTGGTTGTAGCACAGATGGGCCATGGAATTTTTATAGCATGGGGGGGGGGGGGGTGTCTCAGAAAGAAAAAGGAGAACCCCTGCTCTAGATAACCAAGCAGAATCTTATATTTTATTTCTCAGTAACTAGCAGAAGATTGTCTAAGCATTACATAGCCTGTCTGGTGATGGAGTGGAGCTGTAGGGAAAACCTACAATGGAATGATTGAGGCATCTAAGCACCACAATTCCATTTTTAAAAATACATTTTAAAAATTAGGCAAATTTAATTGAAACAAGGAGAAAGTGTATGTTTAAGCAGTTGCAGCGTTTGCAAAAGGTGCCAAAACTGATTGCCCTGGAGACTGTAGGCCTTTATCAACAAGACATAGCACTGGCCAGCAGCACAGAATCCTGATATCTAGCCACTTGCCCTTAGAAGGCTGAGAGTTTAGTCTCTGAGACTATCTGCAAGGGTATTGCTCAATGCCGCTTGTGATGGTGATTTTGGTGATGTGGTCTGAAACCCGTCAACTCCTTTCAAACTAAGGCAGTCACTGGAGAATGGCCATTTTAAAGTCAACTATTCTGATCTTACATACACACACAGTCCTCCAGTAGCTAGTAGACTTTCATTAAGTCTGTGAAAACAAAAAAGGGCTGGCTTCTTAGAATGAGAACACATTAGAACATGGTTTTGCACCCCAAAAAAGCCCAAGCCTGAGGAATGAAAGGGGGCAATTGGTCAGAGAAAATTAAGTTGCCCATGAAGAAAGTTTTCTTGTACACCACATATGCAAATTCCAAATAGAAATATCACAATTGGAGTTATGCTGGTCTCCACCCACTGACTCATCACAAAGTCAGCACCAGATTCCTAGTTTGGGTTTTCTATCTTAAGTGTAACATTAGCCTTAACTAGTTTAAAAAAGTATCAGTGGTTGGATTAAGTTAAAAAGGAATCTTGGAAGAATTTCAAAGGCAATACTGTGGATTCAGTGCAAGATTCCAGAGGAGATTATACACTCCCCTCCCTTTATTCCCCCCTTCCCCCCCCCCCCCAAAACGCATCAGCATATCAAGAACACACAGTCGGCCACTCCTCTGGCACATGTAACCAATAACCATAATTATAAAATTATATTATATGTGTATTATAAAATTAGAGCAGCTCATGCACTTTCACCTACGAAGTCATCTGTCACCATTACAGAGATGATGTGAAAAATACAGGAGTTGAATTTTTTCAGGATTAATATTTGTCTCATGTTTGTTTCACTGAACTTTTCCATTAAATTGAATTCTAAAAATGTTACAACAAAGTAGCATGAAACAGATCTGCATTTCTTCTCCCTTTCAAATGACTGAGCATCTGACCTTTTGGGGGGGGAGGGGAGAGGGAATGATCTATTGAAGTTAACACAGGAAAAATTAATACTGTTAAGAAGCACACAGACAGAAATATAAAATAGCATATTTATGTATGAAATAGACAGAATTTGGGGGAGAGATAAGGAACTCGACAGTTCCCAAGTATTCAACACTTCTAGCACTTTGCCAGATCAAAAACAATGCTACTTGCAAGCAATTGAAGCACTCTGCCTTCCTGGAAAAAAGGCAGTTTTAAACTGACTCAAGGAAGCATATGGAAAGTATTAGATTTTCTCTGTGCATCTCTGCAGTCTACTTATAAGTAAGACCATGGTTTTGTCACGGAGGTCGCAGACATCACCGTGACTTCCAAAGACCTCCGTGACTTCAGCTCTGGCAGCTGCAGGGTCCTGCTGCCTCCCGCAGTGACAGGGAGCTGTAAGGTTCCCCCACCACCTGAGGCAGTGGGCTGCGGGGCGCTCAGGGGGACCTCTGCCGCCCCCAGCTACCGCACGGGGAAGGGGGAGGAGCGCAAGCAAGAGGGATACCAGCAGCGCTTCCACTCCTGGGGAAAGGGTAGGGGGACTCTGCAGCTCCCATTTGCTGCTGCTGGCAGGGGGACCCCGGAGCTCTGAGCCCACATGGGGTTGTGGGGGCCCCAGAGCTCCTAGCCATTTTGCTGCTGCCCAGTCCCTTCCCATTTTATCAAGGATATTTTTAGTAAAAGTCACAGACAGATCACGGGCAATAAAGAAAAATTCACAGAAGCTGTGACCTGTCTGACTTTTACTAAAAATATCCATGATAAAATCTTAGCCTAACTTATAAGTGGAAGTTCTGCATTAGGCAGCTAACAAGGTCTCCTGCTATCAAGTGCTGAACTTGATTTGTAGAGAGAAGTCTAGAACACAATATAAACATTTGAGTATTGATGAAATTAGTAGCCTAAAACATTTTTTTCATATTTAGTATTAAATTCAAAACCATTCTAGGCTGTGAGAGCAGATGATGCATTATGAATTATATAAAGCACCCAGGAACTGTTACAATGGGTGGATAACTTGCTACTATATCAGGGTTTCTCAAACTACTCCAGGGGGTCTGCCAGCCCCAATGATCAACTCCTCCCTCTCCCTCCCAGTGCCTCCTGCATGCCAGGAGGCACTGGGAGGGAGGGGGAAGAAAGAGGCAGGGAAGAGGTAGAGTGGGGGTGGGGCAGTATTTCTTAGAATCAAACCCGGTGCCTACCAGAAAAAAATATTACCTCTACCATCCATGTTCCAGGATAGCTAAAGCAATCTCCTCCCATTTAGCCATCACCACCACCAGCCTGTCTCTTAAACTGTTGACATTGTTTACAAAATCCATCTAATCTTTGCATGTTGTGGACCTAATCCTGCATGGTGCCAAATGCCCTCACTCACAAATCAACTCAATAGTGAACGGCAAGTGCCCTCTACTGCAGTTTAATTCAATGGGAATTGAATTATTCAACATTTTCCAGAATCAGGCCCAATGACTCACTGTAAACAGTATTACAGGTAGGACACTTTATATTCCAGTCTATTCCTCCTGGGTAAAAACATTACTGAAACTTACAGGATCATTAACGGTTTCAGAAAACAGAGGCGGTCGTTCTGGGAAGCAGGACAGTATAAGCTGTATTAGCACCAGGACGAAGTAGCTGTAGAAGGTAACGTAACGAAATACATCAACTTCAGCACCCTAAAAAAAGATTTGATATTCTGGTTAGAAGATGTAAAGCAACTGCTTAATGTACAAGTGACCGTGTACCAAATGCCTTTATTTGGAAATAAGCATCTAAGCATCAGAGGAAGTAAATATTCTTATCAACCAAGCAAAAGGTGGGTTCTGTGCTGCTGGTCAAACTGAGCCACAAAGCAGCAAGCATTCCTTAGGAGAGTATTGGGCATTCTAGGCTAAATGCATTGCTGACAACATTCTAGGACTCGCCTGGACAAAACAGAACGTCTGGCCATCTCTATGCAATGCTCTGTTATAGCCATGTCGGTCCCAGGATATTAGAGGGACACGGTGGGTGAGGTAATATCTTTTACAGGCCCAACTTTTGTGGGGTGGGGGGGGGGGGAAGAGAGGAAGGGAGGAGAGACAGACAGACAGACAGACAGACACTTTCAAGCTTATACAGAGCTCTTCTTCAGGTGACCTGTGTAAAGCTCAAAAGTTTGCCTCTCTCTCACCAACAGCAGGTGGGCCAATAAAAGATATTATCTCATCCACCTTGTCTCTCCACCTCTATGCAAAACATTACAGGAGAAACAGTTTTATCTTTGTGGAGGAGAGAGGAGAAAAAGGGAGCTTTTTTGCACCAGGTTCATCTGAGGACACCACAAAAAAAGAGTTCCTGAGCGTCTCACTCTTTCTTTTAAGGCCTTGTCTACACTGGAGTTTTCAGCCACTGGTGTAGCCACACGTACAATTCCCTAGTACAGATGTGGTGTTTAAGCCATGACTTGCACCAGTGCAATTCACTTCAGTTTAAAGCCAGGATCAAATCACAAGGGGTTTCCTGGAATAGTAGTAAGTGATTTGGCCAAGCCCACAGAGGAAGTAAGTGTCAGAGCCAGGATTAAAAATTAGTCCACTACACCATGTTGTGTTCAGACACCACAGCTTCCTCTTTCTATGCTTATGCACAGCACAGCTCAATCCAACACTCCCAAAGAAAGTAGAGACAACTTAGGCTGAAGAAAGCACAAAGCCACTACTAAACCCAATACCAATTTAATAGGAGCCAGTCAAAAGTTTTCAAAAAAACCTCACAAAGTTGAGGAACTTTTTCAAGAAAGTTACATTCCATTTTCAGCCAGCGCTACAATTTAATGAATTAGACAAGGGTAACTTATTATTAAAAACCCAACCCCAGCGAGATCTAAAATATTCTAACCATACAAGGGAACACTTTGACTAAATGGGCATATGAAACAGAGCTACCATCAAAGCAAGTGCTTCAGGAAATCCCCTGTATAATCAACAGGAAAAAGAACTAAACTTTAGCCTGAATTGTTTCAGATGTAACCGTACACTCATTCATTCTATTCAAATAGGTTTTGAATGTTTCTAGACGTTCCAGTAAAACTGTTTTGCTTTTAAACTTCCTTGCCAACATTTATAAAAGACCATCAAACCTTTGATTAATTTCAAACATGCAAAACTAAATAAAAAGTAAAACAAGCATGACTTAATGGCCCTTAAAAGCTCAGGAATGAAGGTACACTTAATGGATCATCAACTCGCTCAGTATCTTAAGAAGCACTGATGGGCACTACAGGTTAAATTAAACAAGTAGTCACTGCTATTGCAGCACTTAACTCACCTTAATTGAAAAGTAATCACTTACCAGGTTTAAGGCGTGCAGTATTTTGGACCTGAAAATTATTGTGGCACACAACAGTGCAGTAAACCAGAAAATCAACATTACGCCTGAAGACTGGACTCCTTTCATTCGCTCATATTGTATTAAAAATGTGGCGAGCAACTACAGACAGATAAAAAGATAGCATAAGCAGGTTATGTTCATAAAGGTTAAGAAATAAAATGATACACAAAGCAAACGCAATATACGAAGCACAAGCATGGCTATCCCAAACCATGAATTAGTGTTTCTATTCCAGTATCATCCAGAAGTTCCAACTATGTCTTAATGTCTTTGGCCCTGTACAAACATAACTAAAAGCTAGTTCCTACTCCAAAGGGCGTCAGTTTAAAAAAAACTGAATACAGAGAGGGGGAAAAGCAGAGCACCAAACAAAATATGTTCAAAGCCTCCAAAGGGAAAAAAAGCGTCACAAATCAACATACACAGCCATGTCTAATTATGAAGATATTTTAACCTTTCCAAGGGATTTCCCAAGGCTAAGCGCTTGAAAGCTGACTTAGCAAGAGTTCATCTTTAAATAATCATCTCTTTCATACTTGTTAAAATAAAGTTACACTAACCAATGTGATTTATGTTTGTTTTTTCCATTTCCACACTCTGTTTAGAGGAACTTTTGTACACTTTAGGAAACTTATGTAGCCCTCGCGTGGCATAAAGCATGTTTACAATGGGTCCAGGGCTTCCCATTTTAGTCACATCATTAATCTTGCATGAAATTATGGTCAGGTATGGGCCTGGGTTATTCTTTTCAAGTGTGTTTTAACTGGGTTTTTAATTTGTATTACTCCTAACCTGGGCTGAAGAAAAGAAAAAAAAAATCAACTTGCTGATTACTAAAGAGAGGTTTTCCTGAGGAAGCACAATGCAGTCAGCTTTTAAGAAAAGCTAACAGGATAGTACCTGCACTTCCCAGCAGGCAGGCAGTCTGGGACATCTAGCACCTAGTGCACAGAAAACTAACTTTTAAACACTTCCCATCACTGCGTCAAGAGTGAGTATAAACACATGTATTTCACTCAGACCCAGAGAACTCAAGGGTCTATTACAAATACCCATAACAATCTGAAGTTTTGTTTTTAAAATTTAGTAATGTTGGCAACTCTCTTGACTATATTTTATGGTTTTAAGAACTTCTATTTAGAGTTACTGGTCCACAGAATTAAATCAAGTTCTCAAGCATGTGCATGAGTAAATGGAACCTCTAACCTCCAAGAAAGTGTAGATGCCTTAGAACTAGCCTGTATGCTTCTCAACATGCTGATACGCAGTTTTAAGCACAAAGTTTGCTTTACATAAATCAAAAATCAGCATTTCAGTTCAGCATCAAGTGAAATCTGTAAATGAGGATTGTACCTAATGGAATAAAAATGCTAAGCAGCTGCAAAAAAGGCAATATGTACAGTTGAGAAAGCTAGATTAGTGGTTGTGATTTTGCATCACAGAAGGACTCTGAGTAGAATGATTTATACTTACCATTGTTATGCCCAAAACTGTAGGGCTAATGACAAAAACTGGAGGTCGGAAAATATTTTGACTTCTTTCCCAGAAAGAGTAGAAAAGATCTGCCCAGCAGATTATCCACAATAGTAAGCCCAAGGCCTGGAACATAAAAGTACGAATAAATATTGAAAGTGAACTCTTACCACGTGTAACAAAATGTCTTTTGGTACAACAAATTAATGCATACACAGTCCAATGCAATTGCCCTGTGTGTGTAGTCCTATTAGGCAATTAAAATTAGTCCAACCGTATACTACATACATAATACATGAGGTAAAAAGATACTCTCTCTCTGTAGGTTCCCAATTAAAAGAGAGAATTTTAGATTACTGTGTTATATAGTTCAGATTTATTCTAAAATGTCATATCACACGCTAACATTTTATGAAGCAAAGACTGGCGTATATCTCAACTTAGACTGGGAAGAAACTCTTAAATTGAAGGTTTATAAACGGGGCAGAAATCCTCAAAAATACACATTAATGAATCAACTCCTCTCAAAGGCTCTTGCTTGTTTTACAAAGGAACAAACTCTGTTAACAGATTGTTAAACGCCAGTTGGTCGAGAGAAATGGAACGGGATGTCTATAATTACTCTAAAAAGACAGACTATTTTATATGCTTTAAGAGATGGTCAAAAACCTGATTCGTTTAATAAAATCCTTTCATTTCTAGGGTTGAAGCTTCAGGATCAAGTTGGCCAACACAATGTGGTACTTCCCAACTTCAGGGCACCGGGCACGCTGTAGGGGCTGTATCCAAGGGCCAGTAATATGTATCAGCACACACGCAAGGACCTTGAAGGATATGCGCTTTTTTAGACCTGACCAACTTATTCTCAGGCAGCCCATTGACATGACAGCATAAGACTTGGAAATTAAATTCAGGTGAATTGTATGCATGGATCCCATCCCAATACAAACATTTCATAGAGTTAAACCATTTAAAAACAAAAAGCCAATTTGGTACAAATCTGAAAATAAAACCAAAAAATCCAAATATATGGCACAGACTCTGAAGTAAAAGTCACTTACTGTTTTGGCTTTGTTGAGATGCGACATTTGGATATAGCCCCTGTCATGACGACGGAGGTACAGGAAGTATATTGGGAAGCAAACCCACAGGTAAATGCAAGGCACCCAGACAAGGATGGTGTTCTGAAAGCACTTAGTGAAATCTGGATTTTCTGTGTGCCACGTCAGGTTCCAATCCTGAGGAAACAAAATGGATAAGTAGTGAATGAAAAAGCAAAATGCCCACCACCCACTTGTGCCTGAGGAGTCTTATTCTTACTGGACTGTTAATCTAAATCTGGATTAAAGATTAAGATCAAATGGCTCAGGACTAGAGAATATTTAAAAAGTTTGACTTCACCTCACATTAATCACGAAACTGCTTTCAAAAAACCGCTCCAAAAAACAAAACAAAAACAAAAACACAAAAAAACACAACACAGGTCATTGTTCTCTGTGCTGGTTTCACAACAGCTACCACAGCAATCTTCTCACTCAACTGGCCATACTGAGACCTTTAACTTCACTAACTAGTTATTTTAAAAGTATCTCTGCAGAAAAATGCAACAGTTTCCTGTCCCCATTACACCTGTTTCAGAAATATTATTTAATATTTAGTGTGAAAAAGATATGTAAAGATTAAAAATCCAAGATTAAATAAGAAATCTTGAAAATGCTGTTGTAAAGCAGCTTCACGGGGCATCACTTAATAGCATGAAAATTCTCTCAATCCTTGAATATTCACCAAGATGATCTGTACAACTAAGGGGGAAGAGCCTTTCCCTTTTGGCCCGATTCCTGCTCCCTCTATGAAGCTGACAACTTCTAAACAGGAGGAGGATCAAACTTTATGTATCTAAGAGCTTGTCCACATGGGACCCAAGCCAGGGTGTTAAATCGACAGCGTGCTAGCTTGCCATGTAGTAATGTCTCAGGTGGACACTATGTGGCCGCTACAGTGTACTAAAAGTTCTGTTGTGCGCTTTGATGTTACTTTTCCTATGCTCTGACCATGGTGCATAAACAGAGTCTAATCTAAAGCTATGATGTCCAGAAGCCAAAGGAATACTGACCATCAGAGTAATTGAAGTATAATCACCATTTCCATTACTGGTCACAAAGCTATATACAGTGACACATACTCACTACCAAAGGAAATCCTATCCCAGGAGAACTCATTAGTTTGAATTAAGGAAAAGGAGACTACAATGCAGGAAATCATACATGATTATCACTACCAAGATGAGACTATAATTATGAACAAAATCAAGTATTGGGATAGTAAAGTAAATAGCTATAGTAGCATTATAAAACTGAAAATAGATGTAATTCAGCAGCAGATAGTTTCTCTTCAAATATTTGAAGAGACCAGTTACTTCCTGTTTAGAAAATTAATTTTCTTCATATACAGAATGATACAGCAGGACAAAATGCTTATGCCAAAAGTAAAGCATAGTATGCTACAGTTAAAGACACTTACCCTCTAGTGTTTTAAGGACCACAGTCAATATTTCACACATCTGAATTTTTTTTAAAAACTTATTATTATTACAACATTTAAGATAGTTATAACTAAGTTTAGAGAAAAAATACTTCTATTTTTTCTGTTGACTTCAACATTTTACAGCATTGTGTAGAAAGTAACTATAGTCTCATTCAATAATAACTCATAGCATTTTATCTGTAGATTTCAAAGCACTTTACCTCCTTTGTAAAGTATGTGGAAACTGAGGCACAGGGAGGTGAAGTGACCTGCCCAAGGCCACCAAGCAATCTACTGGCAAAGCTGGGAACAGAGTTCAGCCCTCTTGAATCCCAGGCCTCTATCCAACAGCCCACACTACCACCTTGATATTCTTCCCTATCCACGCCGGTCTCTCGCAGAGAGACAGTAATTTATAAATACATTTTGAAAGATAAGAAAACGTGGTTGCAGTGTCACAAAAGTTGGCAGAAGGAAATCAGAGGCTGATGTAACCTTGGAAATATTTTTAGTTCATCTTTTTTAGATTAGCTAGATATCAGGTTGACAGTGCTCTAGTCTCTATCATTTTAAGTGCCGTGCCATATATTATATTGCTGTTTTATGAACTTTCAACTCCTCCAGGAAGTGTTCTATGGGAGGGGGGAGGGAGGGGACCTATGAAGCATAGAGGCATTCCAGTTTAAACTGGAAACAATTATCCTAATTCTTCAGGAACTAGTGTTTAAAAAAATACCACAACAACAAACCAAGCATGGAGCTGGAGGGAGAGAGCAGAAGGAAGCAAGGCTCTTTTGAAAGACATTCAACATTTGTACCCTTTTCATGTTGTCTGCTGTAAGTCAGAGCCTGCAAGATTTTGTTTTATTCAGAGTTCAGTTCTTGGTTACACATAGTAAGTGATATGTTTGGCTGTCACACAGCAGGACTATAGGATACAAGTAACAAAATGAGGCTTTTTTTTTTAAACTATATCTTGTTAGCAGTGAAATAAAAGGTTTCTGATCAAATACATACTCAATGCAAATACATAAACAAAAACACAGGTTTTCCTAGAAGTAGTGAAAAGAACAGGCACTGACAATAAGTATCAGAATGGTAGCGGTATTAGTCTGTATCAGCAAAAAATACTAGGAGTCCTTGTGGCACACTCCTTGTTGTTTTGACAAGAAGTAAAATCTCAAAACTGGAAAACCTGAATCCCTAATTATATTTCCAGTGCGTGTATGTGTGTTACGAGATCTCCCTGAACCGCTGGGTCAAACAACTCCTTTGATGATTCTGCAGAAGTTATAATGAGAATGCAGTTGCTATACGTGAAAGTCATTGAGCTAGCATGCTTATACATTTCCTTATCCCTGAAAGACCCCATCTGGATTATATCTTTTATTGGACCAATGTGTGTTGGTGAGAGAGACAAGCTTTCAAGCCACACAGAGCTCTTCAGGTCTCTGTGGCTTAAAAGTTTCTCTCTCACCAACAGACACTGGTCCAATAAGAGAGATTACCTCACCCACCTTGTCTTTTTAATATCCTGGGACCAACATGGCTACAACTACACTCCATACCATTGGGATTTTCAGCTTAGTCACGCTTACATTTCGCCACTACACAATCATTTCCTGCTTTAAAGATTTCAATTTCACTGTTCCCCATACAATAGTCAAGAGAAGCATTAAACTGGATAGCAATTTACAGACCTTACAATAGTTGCTACAATTACAGCAGTACCTGATTTTACGAACATCAGCCTCATACATGATCAGTTATACAAACCATTTTCCCAGTGGGGAAAAATAAAACCTACCACTTTCATTATGTGATGCCGATGAACAACAAGTCAACATCCCTTCACATTCTTAAGCCTTCTGTGTATTGGAAGTCGCTTTGCAGTGGTTCAAAGGACAAGAATAAAGTGAGGCAGTGCACTAGACTGCCACTTACACATCATGCTTATTTGTCATTTTGAGATGTTTATTTTATGAACTTTTCAGTCCCCAATTAGTCCGTAAAATACGTGTTCTACTGAAAACCCCTTCAATTCTAGAAGTGCTCTCTGTGCAGGTGTCATACATAAACTACTTCAATTAAGGGTATGTTTAATTAAGGATTAAGTATGTACAACTGGCATTGACATCTATTTCATGCCTCAGTGACAATTTCTGAAACCAAATACTCAAATATATGACGTGGAGGGACAAAAAAAGGAGGAAGGTATAATCTGTACACATCTGACCTTTCTCCTGCCACAAAACATACCAGGAAAGTGGTTTCTTAGCAGCCAATCATTGTACTGTTTCCATGTCACTGAACAGAGAGAAGTGCTCTATGCATTATTGATGTATACACTGGGAGGTTATCCTGAAAACATACATGTAACTTTTAGTTCAACTGACTTACATATTCATGTATCTTTCATATAGCTGTACCTCAAAATACCTTGCAAAAGGATACAAGGTATGACAATCAGAGCCCAGAGACTCCAAGGGGAGAACAGAGGGGTGCACCCGCCAAAAAATAAGCAGCTAAACCAGTAGTTCTCAAACTTTTGTACTGGTGACCCCTTTCACATAGCAAAGCCTCTGAGTGCAACCCCCCCCCTTATAAATTAAAAACACCTTTTTATATATTTAACACCATTATAAATGCTGGAGGCAAAGCGGGGTTTGGGGTGGAGGCTGACAGCTCGCAACCCCCCCAATGTAATAACCTTGCGACCCCCCCCGATGGGTCCCGACCCCCCGTTTGAGAACCCCTGAGCTAAACCAACTGATTGTGTACTGTATTATTCTACTATAAAAATATATCAAGTAAGGTCTTTTATTAAATTGTAATGGTCTGAACTTGATGGTCATTATGAGTTGTATACACACTGATTATTAATGTATGTGTTTGTGTATACAAAAAACTGTGCTCAGAACTTGTGGTGCAGTCAAGCAGGACAGACTGCCTCCCCAACCAGACGAGACTAGTTCCAAGCACCTAGCATCCTACAAACCAGGTGTAGACAAATCATGGGCCATTAGAGTTAGTGGAAAAAGACAGATAGGATAGTTAAAATTTCCCATTCTGAAAAAGCATGAGTCACCATCAGAGACAGACCAACTTAAAAAAAAAAAGGAGAGACGAGCTTGAAACTGAGGTCTTCATCCAGAAATTGAGGGACAGTCACTTGGTGGGGGCTGCCTCTGAAGCGCTCTCTCTCCTCTAGAATGGGGGTTATGCTGGAAAATTGTTCCACGGCAATCGGTAACTTGTATTAGAAAAGGGATTTTCTCCAGTATAGAGATGTAAAGCCTAAGGTTGCATCTTTATGTTTATTTTCCTTACTATTCTACCTTTGAATCGGATTTTGCTATTAAATAAACCTTTTGTTTATTTATATCCCAAGCAGTCTCTGGTGTGCAAACTGAGCAGAGTGCGCACGATAAAGTAAGCTGGTGTCTGTGCGGCTGGTTTCATGCTTTCGGGGGTGACAAGCCAGAGGGGAAATGTTCAAATTGTCTGGTAACTAACAATCTGGGGAGACGGATTTGGGGAGACTCTGAACGGAGGGACTGTCGGTGTCACCGGGCTGGTGGAAGCCAGGGTGAGACCTTGCACTTGTGGACAGGCTACTGGTGTCAGGGTTCTGAACTAAAGCTGCACAGTAAAAGGCCCCTACGGTTACATGGCAGGCAGAGACAGAACCCCTTACTGGTTGGGTGATCCCCAA